GGCGGCGCGTGCGCCGAGCGTGCCAACCTGGCCACGCTCAGCGACTTCGAGGACGTGCCCGACCTGCCTGAGGACTCGCCCAGCGAGCCGGCCGCGCCGCCCGCGCGCGATGAGCTCGACGAGCTGGATTTCGCCGACAACAGTGCCAGCGGCGAGGAGGGCGGCGGCGCGGCCGCCGAACCACTGCCGCCGATCAGAAACCTCGGTCACTGTGAGTACGTGTTCCCGGAGGAGATGGCGGCCGGCACCGGTGGCGTCGGCCCGGCGCTGTCGTCCGCACCGCCGGTGTCGGAGCCGGAGCTGAAGCCGGAGCTGAAGCCGGAGCTGAGGCCGGAGCTGAGGCCGGAGCTGAAGCCGGAGTCGGAGCCAGTGCCAGTGTTACCTGCCGTCGCTGGACGGGAGGAGCGGCGGGAGCCTCGCCGGCGGCTGACCGACACGAGCAGCAGGGCTGAGACGAAGACGACCGTGCGTCCGGGCGCCGCCACAGCCGCTGCCGTCGTCGCCAGGAGCGCGGCCAAGGCGCCGGAGCGGCAGCAGGAGAAGAGGCGCTCGGCAGCCGAGGCGCTGGCCGAGAGCAAGTCCAAGTACATCAAGAGCTCGGGCGATACCAAGGCGGCGGCGGCGGCCACGAAGCCTGCCACGGCCGTCAGTACGGCGGCCACCGGCGCTGCCACAAACCGAAGACGGGAGGGAAGCAGGTCGTCGTCGGGCGTCGGCGCTCAGAAGCCCACCAAAGACAGCAGCGTCGCCGGCAAGGTGGTGACGTACAGGAACCGTGCAGTGACGAAGAACGGGCCCGAGCGGAACTCGATGCCGGCGGGCTGGCGGCCGGCCCCCGGCTGGCGGCGGCGGCGGCCCTGAACCGGGCGCAACCGGCGAGCGGCGGGCGGCGGCCGCTCTCCGTCGGGCCCGCCACCACCGCCGTCGGTCTGACGCGCGTGCCGGCGGCGACTACGGCGACCCCGCCGCGCGCCCCCGCGCCGCCCGCTCACGCCGGCATCCGTGTGTCGCCGATCGTCGAGCAGGCGAGCGCGCGCTTGCTGCTGCAGCGCAGCCCCACCGACTCGGCGATCGTGGTGGGGCAGCGGCCGGCCGGCGCGCGCGCCCAGCAGGGCAGCGTAGTGCGTGACCTGGTGCTGAGTCGCGTCAAGTCGCCCGACCGGCAGCTGCGTAAGCGGCTCTCATCGCCTGCGCTGGCCAGCCGCGCGCCGCCGCCGCCGCCGCCGCTGACGGCGCCGCCCGAGACGCCGCCGGCGCCGCGGCGGCGCCCGTCGGCCGGCGCCGCGCTGCCGGCCGGCCCGCCGGCCCAAGCCGCCGCGCGACCCGGCCGCCGCGCTGGCGCTGTTCTCGCCGACGTCGCCGCCGGCGCGGCCGGGCGCGCTGCGCGCGGCGCTCAGCCGCAGCACGCCGAGCGTGCTGGAGCGGGCGGCGGTGGCGGCGTCGGACGCGGCCAGCCCCGACCTCTCGAGCAGCCGCTCACTGTCGCGTAGCCCCGAGCGGCCCGGGCCCGAGGGACGCTCGGACACGGGCAGCGCCGGCCACGACACCAAGAAGAAGCGCGAGCGGCGCAAGAGCATCATCCAGGCCATCTCGGGTGAGCTGGGCTGCCCGAGCGCTGGGGCTTGGTATCGGTGAATGGTTTTCATACCTCGTCATCTAAATGTATGGTGGCAACTTGTAGACCGGTAACTATTATCTAAGCTATCATGAAGGAAGGCACGGTCAGCTATTGTCACAAAGTTGCTGACCGCACATATTGCATATTCCCCGTGACGGGATATTTTTGCGTAGGAGCCACGAGCGCGGTCACTGCGTTTCTGGTTGTGATCTCGCTGCAAGCGGTGACAAAGCGCGCGCGCCGCCGCCGGCAGACATCTTCAAATCGGGGGACAAGAAGGAGAAGCCGTCCAGCCCGCCGCCCGAGCGCGTGCTGTCGGCCAGCCCGCCGCGAACGCCGTTCGTCAAGGCCAACTCTGTCCGGGACAAGCTCGGCCTCCGGCTGAAGAAGGTCAAGGTCAGTGGTGTGGACGCCGCGCCCGATGGCTGACGTCCACTGTGGTGCCGGCGCCGTGGCCGATGGATGACGTCACACCGCGGCCGTGGCTGGCGCGTGTTGTGCGTTAGGTCAGTCACGGCAAGGGTGCGTCCGCGAACACAAGCGTGTGTGCGTTGTGCGTGTTTGCGATGTCCACTTGAACACAGAGCATCGGCTTGCGCGGCGGTGATGTCTTGACTGCCGTCGGTCATGCTCTTCCGATTGCACCAGGCCAGACACGGGGCTAGAGCTGACACTTTTGAGGCAGTAAGTGTGTGCAACTCCCAGGGTTAAAGAGCCCGCATGCCATAACTGGGCATTGCGGGCTACAATGCGGTTTTAGCGTGATTTCTGTAGGCATAATTTACAAACTTGCGTTTTTCCGTCACAAAGATACGTTGATATAACTACCTAGCCACGTTGGTAACAAATGCTGAAGAGAAAGAAGTTTTTTTGTACTAGAAATAGTGAAATGTGAAGTTATGTTTATTTTAGAGTTCCCCGGTCATGCGATGAGTCATTTTAAGCAAATGATCCATGGCACATCCTATAGCTTCAAGAACAGGCTACCATGGCTAAGAACTTTGCTACCTACATTAAGCTATGAAAACTGAACTACGTATTTGGAGAGGATGCAGTGCCCACGCGAGCAGTATAGCTTACAGTTCAGTTAGGGTCTACATAGGGTTTGCCCAACCACCAATTGCCACCCAACGCCTGGAGTGAACTGAAAGCATGACCCTGCATTGAATAATAAAATATGAGTGCCAAATTCATGACAGCTACCACCAATTCAGTCATCTTTATCTCAGACCGTATCTGCTAACTATGCAACTTATATATAGCAGAACTTTCTGCTGTATGTATACGCTGTTCCGGTATTGAGCCACGAGGAAAACACCAAGTGCCAAATAATGTATCCAGTTTCGAAGCAGAAGCATTCAGGGACGGGTTCGGTGCACGGAGGTTGGCAAGGCTAGCCAGTGTTCCAGCTGTTCAAGGCGTTTGGGGAAGGCTCTTTTTTGGCTACTCCAGCTTGGTGGGCAATTATTCTACAGTCGCTGGGCAGCTTGGCGACAGTCTTCGCCATATATTGTGGAAAATGGGAGTCCGCCGGCCGGTAGTCGAACCCGCGGCTCTGGAATGTCGATCCAGCATGCAAACCGCTACACCGCCAGGGTCCAATGAATGGCACCGATGTTCTGCACTATTGGGTGAGTAATTTGTTCTAACCGCCACCCATTAACGGGCGGCTAGGAGCGCTCCTCTCACTATCCCAGGAGCACAGCGAACCTCGCGCTAGTACCACAAATACTAAGCAAGTCGTGGCACTGTCTGCTAAGAGGTGGAAAGTAAAACACAAAATGAAATGACGAGGTTTCAAAGCTCAACAGCAGGTTATGTTAGTCCCTAGAGAAATAAGCACGGAAGGTGAAATAGTGGCCGTAGCCAATGCAATGGCTAGAGGCAGCATGCGACCGGCCGCATATGCCCGCCCAGGAAGGTGATTCACACGGTATTTAGTAATAGAACATTCGAGCGGGCCTGGAAAGACAGTTTTCTGGTCCGATTATAAAACAGTATAATATTGCTATGCTGGAAAGCAGCAAGCGAATTCTGTCCCTCAAAGCTGGAAGCCGAGATACAGTCTTCCATGAGCACTAACATCCCCAGCTCGGAAGAAACAATAAACTGTTCAACGACCTTGAAGGCACGTTCAGAGACGACCACGTGGCGTGTGGCACGAAGCCCGTCTTGCTAGTCACGTGTGGATGAACAACCAGCTGTTCATGTGCAAAGTATGAAGTCATTCATAGCGCCCTCGACTTCACCAAATTGCCATGTGTGTTGCCGTGAGTCGGTTTTTGGCTCACCATGTGGCATGAAGCTGCTTCGTTGATACTGGGATTGGTTAGTGTTCCATTTACACCTATAATGAAGGCATTTGTTGTATAAACCACAGCACGAATAGAACTGTTTTTGTAGTGACAGCTGAGCCTCGGTACTGGACGCGGGCGAGGGGCAGGGCAATTATCCATCATTCAGATACTCCTGTTATCAAATTGGAAAGATCATACGGTGGTGCTATTGATCAGGGATAGTGCTATCTGGATTTTTTTCCATGGCATGTGTTCTTGTTTGGGGCTCTCCATTTTTTAGTGTCTTTTTCTTGCTGAAGCTGAAAACTTGACTTGTTGGGGCACCTGTGGGCTTTGGATGACCCTTGTTTATGGTGGGCACCTTCTACCTTTCTCTTCTAACCTTACCTTACCTTGCCTTATATATTGGACTTATCAGTCATCACATAAGCCCAGGTGAATATAAAGCTGGTCATATTTGCACCTACTAATACTGGTTTCAGTTAAGTTATCTTCCTTATAAGGTCTGGAATGTGGCTCCTTTCAAAGCCTTCTGTCCAGGGCTTCTGAAGGATTAAGAAGATTTTGTCTCAAGTCATGAGCCAAGGGGATGTTTGTCTGAGCCCAATAGGCCTTCATGCCCTGGTCCTTTCATAGGCACTGCCAAATGATGCAGCACCCCAGGCCTTGAAACAAAGAAAACGTAACAGGTTTTCTCAGTTGGTTTGTAAAAAGACATATCTGAAGGATTCATATTATTATATTTGTAGTTTCATGTTTGCAGATGAAAATGTTAGTAAATTTGCAGCAGCCCTTGTTTTAGGCTCATCAGTATGATGAGGTTGTATGCACCTTGAGTGAAACAGGCTTATCAGTGTTGGCCATGAAAATACAGCTAAAGGATTGTACGTTTTGAGTTTCTTATGGAGTTAGTTTGCCACTAATAGTATTTGGCAGAGTTTCTGTACCTGGATTGATAAGCTTGGCATTCCTATGTTTTTTGTGGAAATTGCTCTGCAGGGTGGGGAAGATTGGAATTGTGTGTGGGGTATTCAAAATGTCAAAAGGAAGAGCTGTAGCCTCTACTTTCAGTGAAAGTTCTGTCTAGCTCTGGAAACGGTTTCGTGAATGTTTATTAATCACGTGATCCCGCCGTCGTCGGCCCTATTTCCCACGTGATCCCGCCGTCGTCGGCCTTATTTCCCACGTGACCCCGCCGTCGTCGGCGGGCACCACTGTGACGTGCCGTACGTCGTCCAGGACCGGAAGTCGGATGGCGGTGGTGCGGCGGCGGCGACTTCGGGAGCCGGAGGAGGGACGGACGCCCGGCCCGGACCCGGCCGTCACGCAGAGCCCAGGTCTGTCGCCCGCGCCGGCGCCCGCTGTGACGGGGGGGGGGGGGGCGGGGATGGTTGGGGTAGACGCGCAGGGTGCCGCGCCTATGGCACATAGGATGGATCTCCTTACAGGCTGACCAGTAGTATTTGGATTCTGTTAGGCACCTTAATGTATGTCAAAAACGTGGACATTCGGTTAAATAATGCTGTTTGGAGCGTGGTGGTCGTGTTTTATGCGCGCCTTAACTCTTGAATTAGAATACCTTTCGTTAATGAGATAGTGGAGAGCTAAAGTGAGTGGAGCACGTCATTCGTTTGTTTGGCTAATAGTTCACGTTATTGATCTGGCTAAATGTCCTATCTTCTGATGAGATGCTACAGTCAAGGATCGCTGAGAATGTCTGGGAGCCTCGTCTGGCTTCCTTAGTGCCTGCCAAAATGCCGCAATATCTTGGGTCATCCGTCTGCCCGGCCCGCCTCTGACGAAGGTGTTTGTCCGCCGGGCCAGACTCGTCGCTCGGACTGCTCGCAGACAGCGAGGGGTGAACGTCCGCCTCAGGGCACACGCTCAGCCGCCGCCTCAAGACCGAGCCGCGCCGGCCAAACACGCCGAGATGCGCGCGGTACGCACCCAGCCGCCGGAGCAACGGGGCCGACGGGCCGGCCAGAGCTCCTGGCTGAATGCGTGCTGGACATGGAATTGGCGGTGTGTGGTCTAAGTGACTGTTCCAGAACGGCTGGATCGACCTCTGCCCCGCAGCCAGTTCACTGACCCTCCCCCACCCCCTGACGCCGTCTGACGAGGCCGAGTCGGCTGTGGTCGAGCCCTGACAGCTGACCTGGACTGACCTCTGCGCCGCCAGCCAGTCAGTGACCCTCCCCACCCCCTGACGCCGCCTGACGAGGCTGGGTCGGCTGTGGTCGGGCCGCGACAGCTGGCCTGGACTGACCTCCGCCCCGCCAGCCAGTCACTGACCCTCCCCACCCCCTGACGCCACCTGACGAGGCTGGGTCGGCTGTGGTCGGGCCGCGACAGCTGGCCTGGACTGACCTCCGCCCCGCCAGCCAGCCACTGACCCTCCCCCACCCCCTGACGCCACCTGACGAGGCCGAGTCGGCTGTGGTCGAGCCCTGACAGCTGACCTGGCCTGACCTCTGCCCCGCCAGCCAGCCACTGACCCTCCCCCACCCCCCTGACGCCGTCTGACGCGGCCGAGTCGGCTGTGGTCGAGCCCTGACAGCTGACCTGGCCTGACCTCTGCCCCGCCAGCCAGCCACTGACCCTCCCCCACCCCCTGACGCCGCCTGACGCGGCCGAGTCGGCTGTGGTCGAGCCTCGACAGCTGCTGCCGCGCCGCCGGCGGGCGGTGATTGTCCCGAGCCCCGCCCTGACGGTGGTGACGTGTGCGTGGCAGGCTGCAGCGGGGCGCAGGAGCTGCAGCGCGAGCTGGACGAGGTGGAGGTGCGCCAGCGCGACCTGGAGCGGCGCGGCGTGGCCGTCGAGAAGGCCATCAGGGGAGAGGGGCAGGGTGAGTACCCGGCTTCTCTGCTCCTGCTGTCCTCTGTTGGGCGGGCCTAGTCTTGCCGCTGATGGCTGCATGAACCCACTTAACTGCTTAGTTGCGATCGGTTTTTACAATCGTAGCGTTGCGGCAGGGTGTGCTGCTTGCAAACGTGCATGCATCATTGCAATATACTTGCATTGTCATGACGCCGCCGAGAGCGTAGAATTGGTGACTATGGAACACGTCTGAAGCGAAATGGATGCTTTCTAGTAAGTCTAGCTAGACGCAGTTTGTGTGTGACGCCCAGTGACTAATGGCCTGCACTCCGAAGAGTGAACGGAGCGGCGGGCGCCTCTGAGCAGGTTGGGCGGCCATAGTCGGTGAACAGACTTGGATCTTTGTTGTTGGCACCGCGCCTGGGTGACCCGCGTGCCGCCCCACCCCTCACTAACCTGGCGTGCCAGCCTCGGTGGCCTGCGTGCCGCCGGCCGGTCCGCGTGTGCGCGTGCGGTGTCACTAACGCGCGGCGCGCGCGCAGCCGCCGGAGACGACGAGGCGGCCCTGATGCACGAGTGGTTCGACCTGGTGCACGAGCGCAGTCTGTTGGTGCGGCGCGACCAGCTGCTGCAGCTGCAGGTGCGCGAGCTCGAGCTGGAGGACCGCCACGACCGACTGCAGCTGGAGCTGCGCGAGCGCATGGCGACGCGCGGTAAGGAGGCGGCCCGCGGCCCACGGCGGGCCGGCGGGCTGGAGGCCGGAGCGCGCTCGTCGCGGCAGCGGCGTGGGGGCGCTGCCGCGTCTGGTTACAGATTGGCTGCGGGTGGCGCGGCGATGAACGTTGTGTCGGACGCAGCTAACAGGTCGAGCGGACGTTCAGAACGCACCTGCCTTTCAGTCGCGCACTGTTGCTGGTAGTCTGCGGTTCTCTGGTGATGGTCGCACGTAACAGTGTGGTGCGTGCGCGCGTGTGTCGCGCACCGCTCCGCACCTCGGCAGGCCGGTGCGTGACCCAGTAGCGCTGTGTGCTGCTCCCGCGCCGGGCCTGAGCGGCGCGGCGGCGCGCTGACCCGTCCCCTCCGGCCGGCAGACTCGCAGAAAACGCCCGGCGACATTGACCGCGAGCGCGAAGTGGTGACGGCGCTGCTGGAGATCGCCGAGCAGCGGCGCGCCCTGCGCCGCGCGATGGACGACGAGCAGGAGAGGTACGCGGCGGCGACCGACCGGCGCCAGTGGCAGCTGGTGACGCGGGCCCGCGGGCCCTGCCGCCGCCGCCGCCGCCGCCCAGCGCCGCTTGCGATGTCGAGGCGCGCGCTGGCCGCCCGCGTGCTGCTGGCGCTGACCGCCGTGCTGGCGCTGCACTGGCTGCGCCTTTTCGAGCCCTGGACCTTTGAGCTGTTTGTGTGAAGGGTGGTGGGGGGCAGTGCGGGTGGTGACGACGCGGTTGTTGTTTGTCTGTGATAAGGCTCTTTGTGTGGGGGCTGGGGAAGCGGGTGGGAGAGAGCGTGGTGACGCATTTTCCCGTGGCAGAGCTGTTTGTCTGAGGGATGGGGGTAGGGAGTGTGGATGATGACGACGCTTGTTCGTTGGCAGAGATGTTTGAGGGGTGGTGGGAGGGTGCTGACTTGCGCGAGTATTTGGCATGTGGCACGTGTTGATGTGCTGATTTTTGTTGAGGCATTACATGCTTACGACTTCTGAATGTTTTTGTTGCTGTTTTTTGGCAGATTTATGTTATCTTAGGTATCATGGCTTTGGAAGCTGCTGTGTCATGACAGTGTGATCTGCTGGTTGGGCTAACGGGGATCCCTGGCCCCTCCTGTATTTCGATGACGTATGACAGTGACATCTCCCATTCAGAATTGTTGTCAAGTTTTTTTTTTCTCAGACGTAGCAGCTGTTATCATACACTTGCCTTCCAGCCCTCTGCTTTTCCAGAAATTTTGTATTGCGCTAGATATTGTCTAGTCTTGCAGCCTGCTAGGAGATGTACCTGATGGCCCGATGTTTTCGGCACATCAAATTAGGAAATGAATTATATTTTTCTGGGAGGAAAATGTGGTAGTTGGTATTACATGCGCATCGATGAGAAGCTGTGGTTGTTTTGGGGTCCGTCATTTTATTTTTTGTAGAATGCTGTTAGATACTTGTCCTTTTCTCTGGCGGCCAGCCACATCAGTCAGGAATGGCCAGTTTCATTGTTTGCAGATTTATTGTATTGCCATGATTGAACTAGCGCAGCTTGTCCGTGGTCTCGAAGTCCATTGCAACATGGCGGAGCGAGCAAAGCCTGTGATCCATTTGCTGACGAAAACCGAGATATAAAGCTTCTCGTTATTGACTAATATGCTGAGGTGCGCCAGTGCATTAACCCTGAAATTCATACAGATGCATTTCGCAAACGGATTGTGGATTAACTAACGGCAACATTGTACATACGGTTAAACGCAATTACGTAATTTCGCAAGGGCTGCCGTATTTTCGACATTGGAGCCTGCATCCTGCCTTGTTACGTGTGAGGTAGTCGTTTGTATGAGCCGATTGACTGGGCGTCAGGGGTCCGCGATTGTGGCGTGTCCCAGCTGACCCCCGCCCGGGCAGCGTCCGTTTCCCGTAACCCGCATCCTCGCCAGGACGTCTGCCCCGCCGGCGTGACGGGAGCGGCCCTGACAGCGGTGGCGGGTGTGCTAACGGCGACCCTCCGCAGGCGGCGGCGGCGCCCATTGGTCGTAACGCCCGCTGCCTGTACTAAGCTTGGCGGGCGTGGCGGCAGCGACGGCGGCGGCGGCGGGCGCGGTCTGACGCCGCACTAACGCCTGTTGCAGACTGCGCGCCGAGTGCGAGTCGGCCGAGAGTCGGCGCCTGCCGCTGGCCGCCTCGGCCGCCGGACCGGCCGAGTCCACCGTGTAGTGCGCCGGACCGGACCGGACCGCGCCGCGCCGGACAGGACCGCCGGCGACGGGACGGACCCGGCGACGCCGACAGACGGACGGACTGACGAACTGACAGCTGGTGGACGCCACGCGCGCGCCGGTGGCGGCGGGCAGAGCGAGCCCCTCTCCAGAGCAGTGGACACGCTGGACCCGGATTGCAAGTTGCAATACGCTGCGCCGGACTGACTAGCTGGTGGAGGTGCTACCTGACCGACTACCGCAGCTACCGTCTTAGATGGTATATATATATTGACCGAGCTGCAGTGTCTGAAAGCCCGACTTGTGTTATTTTCCCACCTAGGCGAGGTAGGTCATTTGCCTGCACCCGCCACTTCTGTTTGATTTCGGTCGGCAGGCGAGCTGTGCTCGTCGGATGTCTGCTGCCGCCGGCAGACGCGAGGGAGTGCGTGTTATTTCGCGGCCGTCCCCAGCCGCCCCTGACGCGGCGGCTGGGGGCAGGCGCCGTTACCGTGGACAGCTTTAACCGGCCGTTGGAGGGGGCGCGCGGCGGCGGCTCTGCGCGTCCAGGTGAAGCGGCGCCGACCTTGCGGCCGGCGTCGTCGCGTTGTGTGGCGCCGCCGTGTCGTGTGAATGTGGCGCGCGCCGCCAAGGCTGCCGTGTGCCGACACGGCAGCGCCTGCGCGACCTTTGCTTGACGTACTCGATGTAGGAAGTTTGTTTTCTAGCATGGCACCGGCCGACTTGGGAGCGGACGCGTGTCTGCGGCGGGCAGCTCCGACGGTTCGTCTCTCCGGTGTTAGCGGCGGCTGCCTCCTGCGCCGCCGCCGCCGCCGCCGGGTTTTTAACGCGTGGTGATATTTATTTGAATAGTGAGACGCGCAATCATACTCTGAACAACGACGGCCGATATTGCCGGCAGTTGTGGCGCTGCCGCCGGGATTTCAGTGCCTTGGTCGGCCGCCGCCTGGTCGCCCGGCCCGCGCGCCGCCGGCGCCGGGCCCTCCGGCCGCGGCCGCCTGACCGGGCGGCTGCCGCTTGCCGTTCTGCTAGTCGCTTTGATCACTCGCAACGATCGTGTGGGGCAGCGTACGGTCGGTCCCTCTGTCTCAAACGCTTACTTTTTGCCGCCTTTTGTAATGAATATTAACGTACTCCACTGGCGTTTCTCTGGGTGGCTGGCGGAGCTGAAGGACTTCGGAAGGACGGCCTCGGCCTTGTGGTCGGCACTGGGGAGCTGACGCCGGCACGGACAGGCTGCAGCTGCCTGGTCCGGAGGCGCACGCGAGGTGCAGGACATTGAGCACACCTTGCGGTGACCGAGCCGCGTCGGTTACGCGCGGCCTTCTCGTCCGGCGTAAGAAAGCGCGACGTAGTCAGCATGTATATTTGGCGAGTAGTTATCACAAGGTGAGTGCCGGGCTCGGTGCGTGACTGGTCGCTACACAGCTAGGGGTACACCGACTACGGACGAGCGATCGTGACTAGGGGGTCGGGCGCGGCGCGAGCGGCCCGGGCGGCGGCCGACGACTCGTCCGCGCCCTCCGGCCGCGGGGGCCGCGGACCCAGTCGGCAGTACGAAGAGCATATGCAGTGAGTGGGGGCGGCACCAGAGACCGGCGGGTCTCCCGCCGGCTCATGTACGAAACCGTGCATGCAAAGCCGGGGCGGATACAAAAGTGTAAAACGGGAAGGATCCACGTCGATCGATGGCACGAAAATCGGCCGAAAAATTGAAGCGGGTCGAAAGCAACGTCGTCGCCCTGCGGCCCGTGAAGACTTCCTGCACAGAACTGACGCTTCGCGACGGGCGGCGCGACACGTACCTGTCTACACGCTATTGCCACAAGTACACGCAAAGCCAGGTCGCTCCATATGACCCGCACCGACCACGCGTCGGTGGGGTACACACGCGCACACATCGGCAACATACGCCGAACGAGACTAGACAGCTAAGCACCCTGGAGAAGCAACAGAGGCTACGTTCGCCGCACGAGATTATGCCCTCTCCTACATTCGCTACCACGGCGGCAGGGCGCGTGTGAACGCAACTGAGTAGCAGCGCGGGACACCCACCGCCGATGAGAAGACCGCTCGACGGCACGGTCGAAATAAGACGGCTCTGAGGGGCCGCGCGCCGGCTGAGGGAGCAGCCGCGCGCGACCATAGAGCTTGAGACGCGGCCTGGCCGAGCCGGCGCCGCCGCCGGTCCCCGCCCCAACCCAGAGCGGATCGGACCCAGACTATCCACCCGCGCGGGGCGACCTCACCGTCGGCTGGAGGTGGACGGGCTGCCGATGCTCGGGGCGCGGCTGGTGTAGGCGCTGTTGGCGGCCGTCGTGTAGCCGTACACGCCCATCTGCTGGTCCAGCCGGTCCTGGAACTCGAGCAGCCGCTCCACGATGGCGGCGAACGACGGCCGCTTTTCCGCCTCCGTCGCCCAGCAGTGCTGCATCAGCTGGTGGATGGTGCGCGGCGTGTTCTCGGGTCGCTTCAGCCGGTTGCCCTCCTTCAGGTGGCGCACCACCTCCTCGTGCGACATGCCGAAGTAGGGCTGAAGCGCGAACGAGAAGATCTCCCAGAGCACGACGCCGAACGCCCACACGTCCGACTGCAGGGTGTACTTGTTGTAGAGGATGCTCTCCAGCGGCATCCAGCGCACGGGGATTGCGTCGTGCTCGTCGCCTCGGAAGTAGTTTGAGCAGATCTTCTGCGAGAGCCCGAAGTCGGCGATCTTGACCACCATCTGCTCGTTGATGAGGCAGTTGCGGCAGGCCAGGTCGCGGTGCACGAACTGCCGCTCGGCCAGGTACTGCATGCCGCTGGCGATCTGCTGGGCGATCATGGTCATGTCCAGGTGGCTCAGCGTCGAGTCGCTGAAGATCTCGCCCGTCTCGTGCTTGATGATGACGTTCTTGGGCGACGCCTGGCGCAGGTACTCGTTCAGGTCGCCCTGGTTCATGAACTCGAACAGCAGGCAGAGCGGTCGGCCGACGGCGCACACCGCCAGCAGCCGCACGATGTTTGGGTGGTCGAAGCCGGCCAGCAGGCGCGCCTCGCGCTCCAAGTCGCGCTCCATGTCCTCCGACGCGTCCTCTTTCAGCATCTTGACGGCCACCATGGTGAAGTCCTCGCCCTCTACCAGGTCCGGCGCCTTCGCCTGCCAGGGAAGCTCGGCGTCAAAGCAGTCGGAAAGCGATACTCATAAGCCGCTTGGAAGGACGGTGGGATGGCTACCCTTCAGGGACACAATGCAAAACACATTGACCCAACAAACGCGCGCGGTTCTGTGGAACTTCCCAGCCGACGTCTAAGACGCCTGAGCCACCGCCGTCACCAGCCTACATTTCTGCTCTCCCACGGCTTGCCGCCTCAACATCCCGCCCCGCGCTAGCTCCAGCAAGAAAGCTGTCCAGCTGCCGCCTCCGCACCTCCCACAGTCCGGACGCCAGGGCTCACCTGAAAAACGCGACCGAACGCGCCCTGGCCCAGGTCGCGCACGTAGATGATGTCGTTGCGCGCGTACTCGAGCGGCTCAAGGCTAGCCGGCAGCAGCGGCGCGTGCTGGTGGTAGCTGGTGTTGGACGGCAGCTTGGTCAGGTCGATCGCCTCCGCCTCCTGAGAGCGGACGCCGGGCCGTGTCAGGCACGGCACGCGGGGCGAGGGCCAGGAGGCAGGCCAGATACCATACACAGCCAGAATGTGTGACGAGTGAGCACAATCCGCGTCCACCGGGGCATCAGGCTGAGTGATGGCCGTAGGGTAGGTCCGGCTTTGTGGCGATCTAGATCGGAAAACAAGCAAAAAAGGGCACCTGGGTGCTATTCGATACGGCACAGGCAGGCTTCAATACATTGGAGAACAGCCATTGCGTATGTATTGGTGTGGTAACGGCGCACCGCGCTGTTACCACAGCAGCAGGAGCGGCAACAGAACGCGCCGTTACCAAAGCTGCGGCACTAGCGCACCGCGCCGCCCTAACCCCCTACCACCGAGCGGTGCCCCCTCCCATCGTCGCCAGCCTCACCTTGCGCTGGGCGGCGCGGCGACGCGCCCGCCGACAGCGGCAGCAGCCGTACACGGCCATGGCCGCCATGATGACGGCCGTGACGCTGGCCACGGCCAGCACCAGCAGGAAGACCGGGTCCATCGGCAGAGGGAAGCCGTCGGCGGCGTCCCCCGCCGGCGCCGCCGCCGACACGGCCGAGTCGCGCTCCCAGGCGGCGGCCGGGTCATCGGCGTATAGCGTACTGTTGTCCGCTGAGGGGAAGGCCGGGCGGAGGTCAGTTGCGGTGTACAGTGGACTGTTGTCCGTTGAGGAGAGCGATGACAGTTAGGTGGACTGTGCAATGTGAGCCTTTGCTCGCTGCGGCCGAGGATGTAGCTCCAGTATCAGAGCCAACGCCAGTGACGTGCCATGACCGCCAAAAACACTGCTCGGCAACGCCCATAGCATCCATGTGATCATTGCCGGCAGTCCAGTACCAGCATTCACGTTAGCGATGTAGTCATAGTCATTTATTAGAATCCTTTCAGCCGGTGGTCAGTACGAATCTTGTCAACGTGACCGCGTAATACTGTAAAATACAAGACAAAACATCATACAATTGACCAGTTGAAATAGCTCCACTACCAACGCCTATGCAGCTCCGCGCCAGCGAAGCACCGAGCGCCTCGGCCACCAGCAGCGCCCCAGCGCCACCGGAGCGGCGGCGGCGGCGCGCTCACCGCATCGCTCGACGCCGCAGTGCTGCCAGCGGACGGCCGGGTCGGTGGTGTAGCACCAGGGCTGCGGCTCCTGGCCGCCGGCGTTGCGGCAGTAGTTCTCGGCGCCGGCCAGCTCCGGGAACAGGCCCACCGGGGTGCTGTGCTCGTGCGGGTGCTGCGCGTCCCAGCGCTGGCACAGGATGCCCTCGGCCGTCGAGTTGACCCGGCCCTGGTAGTAGCGGCCGCGGCCCCGCACGCAGTCGTCTGCCGACACGCACGCGCGCGCGCGGGCTGCTAGTGACGGGAGCTGGGGGCTGGATGGATACCATCCCGCGGTGGTCACCGCGGCGAGAGGGCGGCCACAGGCCTCGTCAAACATGACACGCGCTTGACAAACGCCCTGGCTGCCAACATCACCTGGACGTATGAAATGCCTTGATGAATCATCTCGTCCCAGTAAGTGTCACTACACACTTCACATTACATTAGCACCATCCTCCCCCCGCCCGCCCCGGGCGGTGGGGGACGGTGGTACTCACAGGTGACGAGTGCGGTGAGCATGGCAGTGAGGCCGGCGTACGAGCAGCGCTGGCGGTGCCCCCCCTCCCCGGGCGGCGGTACTCACAGGTGACGAGCGAGGTGAGCATGACGGTCAGGCCGGCGTACGAGCAGCGGTGGCGCGCGCCGTCCCCATGCTCCGGCAGCTGCTCGCAGGTCGGCAGCGCCAGGTGGCTGGGCACCCTGGAACGGCGCGGCGCACGGCACGTCGGCGCTGGGCGACGCACGGGTGCTATGTAGGGAGAGCACGGACCAAACGGAACAACGGGACACGTGCCATAAGTTAACGTTCCAAAGGAAACGTTCCACATGGTGTAAGCACACACGGCGGTGTTGCAAGATCAGACCAAGATAAATTCACCGGTTCTGAAAATAACAAAGTTATTGCAAAGCGCACTAAATATGTAACACAGGGTAAGCTATTTGTGTGAAGACAATTTACGGGAATGCTCCACATTTGAAGATATTGAAGCAATCGTCAAATGTGTGAAATAGGCTCACTTCTGACTATGACCTTATTTCACCTACAGCTCGCTCATTGGTATCCTTCAAATGGGAGTGCTCCGCATTCGTATGGGGTTTAAACTGAAACAGACATCCTAAACATCATTCCGTGCAGTTCACGGTCCTGCCTTTCTTGAGGTCCGAACCCCTCTATTTTCTGAGCTGCACACCCGCGAAAACTTGTAGACTATTTCGAGGACACTGTTTCAAGGTCACCTAACGCGAATGATGGGAGATTCCCCCCAAGTGATAAGAAAACCCAAAACTTTACAAATGTTTTCCCAGCAGTTAATACATGGTAGCATGCCCGAGTCGCCCGGACGCCGCCGCCACGCACCTGGAGTCTTTGACGAGCAGCCACTCCTTGGCGCAGAAGAGCTCGCGCACAGCCAGGCAGTCCTCCCGGCAGGGCGGCAGTGCCGCCTGTGTGCCGTTGGACTGGCTGCACTGCGGGAATGCTACACTGCAGAGCAGCGTCTGGGAAGCGGCGAGCGTCACGTCAGACGTCCGGCACCCTACACGAGCGTCACGTCAGACATCTATCACTCCACACGAGCGTCACGTCAGACGCCCGGCACTCCACACGAGCGTCAGGGTCAGACGTCCGGCACTCCACACGAGCGTCACGTCAGACGTCCGTCACCCTACACGAGCGTCACGTCAGACGTCCGGTCACCCTACACGAGCGTCACGTCAGACATCCGCCGCTTCACACGAGCGTCACGTCAGACATCCGGCGCTTCACACGAGCGTCACGTCAGACATCTGTCACTTCACACGAGCGTCACGTCAGACATCTGTCACTTCACACGAGCGTCACGTCAGACATCTGTCATTCCACACGAGCGTCACGTCAGACATCTGTCACTTCACACGAGAGTCATGCCAGAAATCCAGCAATCCACACGAGCGTCACGTCAGACATCCGTCACTCCACACGAGCGTCACGTCAGACATCTGTCACTCCACACGAGCGTCACGTCAGACATCTGTCACTTCACACGAGCGTCACGTCAGACATCTGTCACTCCACACGAGCGTCACGTCAGACCTCCGTCACCCTAAATGAGCGTCACGTCAGACATCTGTCACTCCACACGGGCGTCACGTCAGACATATGTCACTCCACACGAGAGTCACGCCAGAAATCCAGCAATCCACACGAGCGTCACGTCAGACATCCGTCACTCCACACGAGCGTCACGTCAGACATCAGGCACTCCACACGAGCGTCACGTCAGACATCAGGCACTCCACACAAGCTACACGTCAAACATCCGCCACTCCACACGAGCGTCATGACAGACATCTGTCACTCCACACGAGCTTAGTGTCACACATCCGGCACTCTACAAATCCGTCACTTTCCACAAGCGTTATGTCAGACGTCCGTTGCTCCATACAAGTGTCACGTCAGACAATCGTCACTCCACGCCAGCTTGGATGGGGCCGAATCCGACCATCAAAGAAACTGCATAGCACACTCGGCCGGGCTTCATAGCAGCGCACAGCTCATAGCACTGCATAGTACTCCGAACGGCCGGGGTTCGCATTACGAATGAAGAAACAAAGGCAAAGACAAAGAGACAAACCGCCTCTTGATCCCCCCCCCCCCCCCCCCGCAGAGCAGGTTGGCACACGCCGCACAGGTCAACCAGGTGTTTCCGCCCTCGGCCTAACTCCAGAGCAGGTTGGCCCACGCTGCAGAGGTCGACCCAGATGTCCCCGCCCCTTGACCCACCTCCAGAGCAGGCCGACACACGTCGCTGAGGTCGTCGGCGTGGTGGAGGAGCTGCTGGCGGACGGCGCGCTCATGGTCGAACGTGTCGCCACCCTGGTAGGTGGTGTTGTACCAGACGAACGGCGCCGCGCTCAGGTGGTGCCGACACACCTCGCCCACGTAGGGCGCGCAGTAGCCCAGCGGCGAAGAGCCGTCGTACCCTGCGACGCGGCGCCGGTCAGTCGGACGGCGCGCCGGACCCACGGGCGCACGGCGTCCGTCAGCGCGCACCGCTGACGGGGAGGCCGCACCTCTGGTAAAAGCGTGATGATACATACACAAATGTATCGCCTCCGTCCTCCCTGATAATACAGCAAGCTGTGTTGAGAGCTACATGTTGCAAGTATTAGTCACCAACGTGAGATTCTGAACGCACTGTGTGTAATTTGTTCATTTATTTTATGAACTGGCCCACCAATCTTTCAAGGAAAACGTGGCCTTGGTAAATCTGCCTTCCACGACCTCTCCAAGACCCCGCAGAACATCGTGGTCCGGAACAACGTCTTCTACGGCCTTGGACGAGTGGTTTGATAACACACAGGGTTGTTATCACCATGCAGATGATACCTAAAACATGGCCAAACGAACCCTGCCCCTCTGCCAATCCCCACACAACAGACTTCGCAACGCGTTTGTATATCCTCCTCTCATGAGCTCAGCAGGCGGAGGCGCGGAGAGCAGACGCTGCGCTGACCTGTGCGTGGGACGCCGCGCACGCTAACGGCCACGACGGCGGCGGCCGCGCGTGGACGCCCCACCACCTGGTTGGCGCCCTGGCAGATGTACTCGCTGGAGGCGGCCGGCCGCACAAACAGCTCCGACCGCACGAACCGCGCAAACGGCGGGTAAGTCGGCTGCGACACCACCTGAGGCGTGGACGACAGTCAGACGGGGTACGGGTACGGGTGCGGGGGACGTCGGCTGCGACACCACCTGAGCCGTGGACGACAGTCAGACGGGGTACGGGTACGGGTACGGGGGACGTCCGCTGCGACACCACCTGAGCCGTGGGCGACAGCCAGACGGGGTACGGGTACGGGTGCGGGGGACGTTGGCCGCGACACCACCTGAGGCGTGGACGACAGTCAGACGGGGTACGGGTACGGGTGCGGGGGACGTCGGCTGCGACACCGCCTGAGGCGTGGACGACAGTCAGACGGGGTACGGGTACGGGTGCGGGGGACGTCGGCTGCGACACCACCTGAGCCGTGGGCGACAGTCAGACGGGGTACGGGTACGGGTGCGGGGTGGGGTGGGAGGAGGGGGGCAGTCGGTGTGACAGCAAGTATCAGACGGGGAGCTGTGCCGGGGATGGACCGTCAAAGAGCGACATTGGTAGGAAACAAACATGCAGCAGGACACAGGAGTGTGATTGCAGCGGTGTTGGTCGTGGTTAGATGGGCTATACTTCACGTTTAGTGCATGAAAATCTGCTGGACAGCGCGCTTCGAGTTCACCAAATCCAGGGTCATGCTGTCATGTTAAGTCTTAACACGCGCCCAGGTGGCCAGTTGAATACCCTTCGCTAAGGTGGGGATCAATTCGACTCCACTGAGACCGTAAAAACTGACTGAGCTAGAGACACCAAATTCAACTGTGTGTTGATTTGTACGTGAACTCGCTTAATTCAAGGTTTTACATTCCTAGGTCATGATCTCCGGGCCAAATAACGTCAAAAAGGGTCGAACTAAAGGTTGGTCCCTAAAGTGCCCCCAGAACCTGAACATCTGTTCTAAGCAAAGGTCCATGTTCATTTCAGATCAATGATCTTGCTTGACCATTTGGAGGTCATGGCGACCAAAATAAAACAAAACTGCTTTGAGTTTTGCATCTGAATTAAAGCGACGATTACGCTAGGCAGCATGTTCCTAAAAACAGAGTGTTGAACCGGGTCACTCTAGGTCGGTGACCTATTCTGACCTTTAACGAGTCGATAGAAGATGTATAATGCGGTTCCTTTTGTCACTGAGTTCGAAATAAGCACCAAAAACAGCCCGATACAGCAAACCCTATCTTAGTAAAACAGGTTCGTTTTGACCTTGGTCTGACCTTAATATCTGACCCTAGGTCAATGGAATGTTGATTCAACTGTAGAGTTGCATAATAAAGTATTTCAGAGATGCACAGCTTTGTCTAACATTCTGTTGTTGGATAAAATTGAGTGATTCTCTAGAAATTGAACTCGCTGAATCCATGGCCTGACTTCGACCTACTGTAGGTCACCGACCTTGGAAGGTACATCTAAATTGCTGATATCAAACGATCCGCTATTGAATTTTCTATACCTAGGCAAATTTTGACGCCGCTGCACCGCGCCGTTCAGAAACCATTTCAGAAAAAACCTTCGGGGGGTCAATTCGACCGCCGCCCCCCGCCCGAGCGCGAGTTAAGACATTTTTAACACCTTTACTATCAGACTGTACGGGAAGCATCCCAATAAAAATTTACATGGTATCTTCATGGCCTACTGGCACGAAAAATTTGTCTTTCTCACAGTTCAGCCCAGTAACTTCCCTGCTGCTGTAAATATAAAGACAAAAGAGCCATTGAAAAAACTGCAAACTTGTACGACACTAAAGCGGCCAGCATATTCAAAGTAGAAAAAAGGCTTCAAATGAGGAACATAATGCAAACACACACCTCTTCCCGCAGAAGCAACGACGAAAATATTTGGTCAAAACACTTTGCAAATGGGCTGATACGGAAAGACAATCGGGAAAACTTATACAAGCAACAGCACCAAACACACCCAACATAAGGCCCGGACAAGAACGAGGATAATCCAAACGATAAAACATGTGTCACTCACCTCAGCCTGCCAACTGGACTTCCGCAGCTGGAAAATACAACGACTTAATAAAACAGCAAGCACCACACACTGCACAGCGGAGGAGTAAGATGCTGCCAACACACACCGTGTCAAACTGGGTTCTTTCAAGCACCGACGGCAGTGACGTGCACAGTGCTTCATAACGCCGCGATGTGAAGCTTCAGGAAAGCCACCTCACTCCAACCCAAAGATGCGTGCACACCGACCCGAACAGCGCGGCCCCGGCTCCGTTCGCTCGCCTCACCGGTTCGCCCCTGTAGAGCCAGGTGACCTCCGGTAGGGGGTCGCCGCCCAGGTCACAGCCCAGGGTCACCAGTGCGCCGCTGGGCACGGCCTCGGTCACAGTACGGGTCTGCAGCACCTGCACCGGCACTGAAACGACGGACACGGCACCATACAGCGCCGGCCCAGCCCCACAGGCCGGCTGGGACCGGGGACCGGACCGCCGGCTCTGCCTGGGACCGGGGGACCAGGACGCCGGCTCTGGCTGGGTCTGGGGGACCAGACCGCCGGCTCTGGCTGGGACCGGGGGACCGGGCCGCCCGCTCTGGCTGGGACCGGGGACTGGGCCGCCCGCTCTGGCTGGGACCGGGGCACTGGGCCGCCCGCTCTGGCTGGGACCGGGGCACTGGGCCGCCCACTCTGGCTGGGACCGGGAGACGGGATCACCGGCTCTGGCTGGGACCGGGGGACCGGGCCGCCCATTCTGCCTGGGACCCGGGGACCGGGCCGCCCGCTTTGGCTGGGTCCGGGAGACGGGACCGCCAGTCCTGGCTGGGACCGGGAACCCGGCCGCTGGATCTGAACGGGGGCCGGCCACGGGGTCTGAGACCATCGCCTCGGCACATCGTGCGATGGCATCACTTATTCTTACGACACACATCACGGTGACATCGTGCGCTCGCCGCGAGTACACCGGGACAGTCGAACCCAATTACATGACACATTATTCAGCCCGCTTATGACGGGCGTCGCCTATGGCGTGGTGCCGGCAGCAGGCTGCGCTGCGCGACTGCCGCTGGCCGGCTATCCACCTCTGACGGCCACCTGGGCCAACGCAACCCGCTCCTGACGGCCACCTGGGCCACGGCCACCCATCTCTGACGGCCATCTGGGCCACGACCACCCACACCTGACGGCCACCTGGGCCACGGCCACCCACCTCTGACGACCACCTGGGCCATGACCACCCACCCCTGGCGGCTACACGGGCCATGGCCACCCACCTCTAGCGGCTACCTGGGCCTTGGCCACCCACCTCTGACGGCCACCTGGGCCATGGCCACCCACCCCTGGTGGCTACCTGGGCCATGGCCACCCACCTCTGACGGCCACCTGGGCCACGGCCTTCTGCACGCCGAGCGAGCTCCAGACGCGGCACCGGTAGCGGCCCTCGTCCTGCTTGGTCACCTTGAGCACCGTCAGCCGGCCGTCCTCGCCCGTGACGTGGTTCTCCGCTGCGGGGGCCGCGGCCCGGGTCAGGCACGGCGAGGCGTCCGCAGCGAGGGCAGCGGGCCGGCGGTGGTCACCAGGTACAGCGCCACCGCACGGCGGAGGGACGGACGGAGGGAGAGGGGGTGATATAGGATGCTGTTGGCATATGGAGGGTTCGACCGGTTCCATCACCTGCTGCATTATAAAGCATAGCATGGAAGGTACACACAACGGGCATGAAAAACGGCCACGAGCGCAACGTATAGGGATTACGTTCTGACATTCCCCATGCTGATATTTGACATCTAAAAATGCACACATCACATGGAGGGACACAATAGCACCGACATGTGTGAAGGCGATAATTTCGGGATCGGCTTTGAAGCAGCAGGTTCCAAGACGATGAAAATGCTAAAACCACCCACGAAATTAGCTGCAACTTCTTAGCCCCAAGGCCGCGACCCAAAATTGCATCATCTTCGATGTTTTCATAAGCATATGCATTGGCGTCTGTGGAACCGAAAATCTGGCTCTCGAAACATGCGATCCTTCCCCCTTTCCTCCCCCCTATCATTCCCCAAGAGCTCTGTCGGACTGAGGCCGCAGCAGGACTCAGTGACGGGCCGTCAGCCGCCGTCTGCCCCATGTACCCTTCTCGTCGAGCGGGCGGAAAGTTGGTGCCGGCCGCCTGGAACTCCCAGCGGACGCGAGGCGTCGGCTCGCCGCGCCGCTCGCAGGGCAGCTCCAGCCGTCCGCCTAGCTTCACCTCCGTGTTCTGCGGCCGTCGGGTGATCTCCGGCGCTGCCGGGCCGCCGGCGGTGATCAAGCACGCTCGCCACGGTCCAGCACGCGGGCAGGTGACCGCCGCAACACGCTCACCACGGTCCAGCACACGGGCAGTGACCGCCGCAACACGCTCGCCACGGTCCAACACACGGGCAGTGACCGCCGCAACACGCTCGCCACGGTCCAGCACACGGGCAGTGACCGCCGCAACACGCTCGCCACGGTCCAGCACACGGGCAGTGACCGCCGCAACACGCTCGCCACGGTCCAGCACACGGGCAGTGACCGCCGCAACACGCTCGCCACGGTCCAGCACACAAGCAGTGACCGCCGCAACACGCTCGCCTCGCTCCAGCACACAGGCAGCGACGCGCCGCAACACGCTTGCCACGGTCCAGCAAACAGGCAGCGACGCGCCGCACGACGGTGGGAAGGTGGCGGCAACCAGACAAAACAGCCAATTTGTGTTTTTCTGCACATTTATGGGGCAAGACTGTTGCACACATGGCATGCTGTCCTGTTCTTACTGACACAGATGCCACAATGTGACCAGTTTGCAAAATGCATGCATCAAACAAAATCCATTTGTCCTGTACATGCACAGCTGACTGGTTAGCAAATTTATTAGCTGTTGGGAGCAAAAAAACAAAAACACATCAAGATATAGCCCAGTCCAAAAATTAAGTCATATCCCAAGTGCAAAGCATGATAGGGCATGGTATCATGCCAATACATACCACTTTGCTCTGTGAACCCAGCAGTGAGTCCAACACACAGGGTAGTGAGAGCTGTGAGCAGCATGTTTCAGTTGTTTTTCTTTTCAGTAGTCTATGTTTTTCTCATCACATATTTATTTGTGACCATATTGGCTGTTGGTTCCAGTCTGAAACAAGGAAAGGTCACAAAAGACTATATTGCTGCTGTTGAAAAGGTCACTGGATGATCACAGCCATCTCATGATAATGATCATTCATGTTAAGGGAGCATTCACTGCAAAGATCTCTGCATGTCCATAACATCATTATATTCATATGATGGATTACACATAAAACAACATGGCTTAGCCATGATAGCAACCAGGTTGCTGAGGTCAAGGATCAAGGCAAAGCAGTCACATGTATTGCCAAATACTGCATTTCAAAAGCTATTTAGCAGGACCAATTCTCACCAGATGTGCCTATATCTCTACAATGCTTTTACTGCAAACAACTGTGCCATTACTCCATGTAAAAAGAATGTGCATTTGGAAATATCTGCATCACAACAAATGGCAAAAATATACAGTTTAGTTAGAAAAATGATAAAAAGTTAACAAGCTTTTCAACATCTCTTAAAATGGCCTTTATGCTGTTTTGAAGATGACCAGCACTTTGCTTAATCTGGCACCTGGAGTAAAAGGCTGTATATTTCAAATGATTCAAACATGCTTAAACACAGATAAAATGGTACCATTCATTTCAAGAGCTGCCTTCCACACAGCTGGCAGACTTAACCATGCCAATTTTTGAAAGATATGATAAATTATATTTGATTCCACCTTATTTTCATGCAAACCCTCAGCTTTCAAATGTTTTTATCACCTTGTTTTGAAACACAATCTCTTATTGTAACATTTCTATAAAACTGGTTGATCTTAAAAATCACAGCTGAATATTTGGATACTTCAGAATGTATTCGTTTCCTAGTTATTATGTCATGATATGGTCAAAGTCAGACCAGTCTGTAGAGGGGTCAATAGATTTATAATTCAGAGTGCCTTGCCTCTTGGCCTGTTTTATCTCATTAGAGGCAGCATGCCACTAAGGATCCCAACCAATTTGATCATTGGATAACTTGATGATGATAATGAATTAAAATTAGCTGAATAGCCTTAAAACAGCTTGCAGTGGTAAAAGGTTATCATGATTATTGACTAGTATGTCCTCACCATGCATGTTTTAGCCCGGAAAAATTGGAACATACCAAACAGTGTATTTGGCATAATGCCAGAACATGTATGCCCCCTGACATGTCCTACCATCCAAGATGGAAGCACCAGATTGAGCCCAGGACTTAAACAAACCCATCTAATTTATCTCAAAGTCATTTTATCAAGTGACCCAGTCAAAGCAATTAAAAGTGTCTAGCACATTTATGACATTGAAACACTAGAGAGCATGATTCCATGGTATACTAACACATGTCTACAAGTATTAACTGGATAACTTAATTTCATTTATGCAACTTAATTCACCAGTCCTATGGAACGGAACAAAAGCCAGTATCACCTCAAATTCCATACATTTCAGCATTTACAGGGACATCATTTATTTATGGGTTTAGACATCAGATAGCCACCAGACATTATTATGCCTTCTTGCTTTTGCCAGTTCTTTTGACGCTAAGCGCGCATTGATGTCCTTTAATAAGTTTAGGATTCCTTTGTCTATGGAACCCATTTATTAAGGAAAAACGCATAGCGCAATAATGACAGCCAATCCCCACCTACTTATCGATCCTCCCGCTACCGCCAACTAACACAATTCTGTTAGGTGCTCGCAAGGCCGGGGCAGAAGCGACAAATGCTGGGCGGAGTACACGCCTCAATAGCGCAAGGTACGCCACAGAAATGGGGTGTAACTTTCAACAGCTGAGTAGGATGGTTTTTCTTCTTAGCACACCTTACTTCGGATTTTGGCAACGAGTTTTTGAAGCTAAGATTAATGCTCTTTGAGTTAATTAGTTGTCAAATACCACTCTTTGATTTTAACTATGCCAATATGCCACCAAATTTGCATTTGAATGGTGCTCTTATTTGTGCAATGATGGAAAAAATCTCCTCGAACAAATTACAGTAAAAACAAAAATTTTCACGGCAAGGCATGCAATTTGATTAGTGCTATGTCTGCCATTAATTTTAAAGAAAATCAAGATTGTAAAAAGTTTAGACGCCTCTTATCTGGAAGTAACAAGAGAATCGCATCAGCTTTACCCATGTTTTGCTTTTGTGTATGACGTCATAAGAAAATCAGCGGAGCGCCTAAATTCCCATTTTATTTTTGAAGCCCACATCTCCAGTGCCGACATCACGCGTTACACTGGTATTGTAATGTACGACCACTGTGACGTCTGGCTATGTGATACCTGGCTTGGTGATCCGTTGCTTTTCTATGCTCTGCCCCCTACTCTGCCGTGGGTTAAACTCGGCTGTCTTTCCTGGGAAAACTGAGGGGGCGTCTTTCCATGCTTTGTTGACTGTTAAATGCGCATGAGCTCTTGTGTCTCTTGTTTATGCATTTCATAGCTGTTTTCGCCAGTGGCCTTTGCTTTACGTAGCTGGTGCTATTGGCATCGGTTGGATAGCATCTATTTCTGGCTGTTTCAAATCGCCTGCGTGTCAACACCATCGGACGCTAAACTAAGGTTTTTTGAACAGAAGTGTGAAAGGGAGCGAAATGACAAGCTTTTTTAAAGGGTATCAATACTATGATACTAAGGATGGTGAAGACTGCCACAAGAAGATCTGGTTTATGACTAAAACAGCACTTGTGTTCAGTGAGTGGACTTGTAGTTTATAGAGGGATGTTTGGAGGGCATTGCATTGTTTAAGGAAACTGCAACTTGTATAACTTCATTTGCTTGTGGAATGATTAGTGGCATGCATTGAACAAGATGCCAAAGTCTCCATTTCAGAGGTTGGTGGTTTTGGCAGCATAACTAAATTAATAAAGGTTTATTAGCATTGCTAGGGGTAAGGGGCTTTTGCTCAGTTGCATAGCTATGGGGAGATACTGATTTTTTGTCAAGTGTTGTGTGAATAATATTTTTGGAGTATATTTGCCTGATATCACCTTTAAAACATCATTATCATTACATTACATTTTCAGTACAGCATCAGTTCCATTTTCTGAAATTGGTGGGACTGTGTGATAGAGCTTTCTTGTTTCTGCTGTACATATGTTAAATTTGATGCCTGTACTTCACTGTTATGCAGAAAATGTTCATCTGTGGTAAGTTTTATTTGCAATCCGGCTCATATCCTAGGTTATAGGGAGGCATTTCCCAGCTTTCTGTTTTGTCTTTCTGTTCTGTTTTCCCAGCTTTCTGATTCTTGGATTTTGATCTAGTTTATATTACCTCCCTGTGTATACCCTTTAACATATGTCTCAAATGTTAATGGCTCCAAATCTCTGGCCTTCTTTAAACAAGACTGCCCAAAACAGTTTGCATGGATGGCTAGATTAGTCTCCTGAGCATGCCATATTGAAAAACCTGATCCCATTTCTACATGGGAACAGTTCCAGTTCATTGCATGATGCCACATGCCTGGGCCTATACATTGGCCTTGAGAGGATCAAACTGAAATATTGGATGGCAATGTGTAACATTGTTCTTATGGGTTCATCCAAGTAGGTCAGTTAAGTTAGAGGTGGTTGGCTCACTATGAGGGCAGAAATATTCCTTGAGCTTTTTAAGCCCATGTCTTACCATGAGGCAAACACTTGGAAAGCAGCTGTGTACTGCTGCGCTCCTCTACCCCCTGTTAGCCTGGTTTCTGTGCCTGTGTAAACCCAGGAATGGTTGGTACAATGTTGCATGTTGCATACAATGACCACACCAGTGGTCATTTCTGATGAAAATGTTGTTTGGAAAGGCTCAGGAGGCATTAAAGGGAAGGTGTAGGGATGTGTCTGACAGTTATTGAACATTTTGATGATAGCACTGAATGGAAAGGATGCATCTACCATTCCTTCCAACTTTCCTCCATGCCCCTCCTCAGTACCACCTGTTACTGCTGCCACACCTGTTAGCAGCCACTTCGACGGGGAATGTGTGAGCTGGGCATGCCCGCAGCACATAGGTGGAGCCTATGGGGCCAGACAGCACTGGAGGGTCTCACCCCACTCCCGTGCGGCCGACAGGTGCCTGGGCAGCTCCCAGCTACTGTGCGCTGGTGACCAAGCCGGTGGGCGCCTGGCAGACGGCGCACGGCCTCGGCTACATCACCATCCCAATGGTGACGTCAGCAGCGACGTTCGCCGCCACGGCCTGCGCGCTCACCAACCTGCGCGGCAAGGACGACCTGCTCAACCCCATGGCAGGTGGCTTTGCGGCTGGCAGCATCTTCGGCGCCTGGAGTGAGTGGCAGAAGAGCTGGTGGGCGGCGCGCTGGGGTGGGGTGGGCGAGGGGGCGACCAGCGGGGAAGCGTGGGATGCGGAGTGGAGAGACGGGTTTTCAGGGTTGCAGCAGTATAGCGCATCCACAAGTTGTGAATGCAGCATAATGAGATCCCAGTGTGGAAAGTTCCATTGACCTGAAAAGGTGCTTTCTTTGCTTTTTAAAGCAAGGTAATTGTTCGGGAGTGGCTGGCATCTCAGTTGGTCATTAGTGTCCGGCATCGATCTTTCGGCGGGTATATTTCACTTCACCAATGTCTTCCGGGGTGTAGCCTCTGGCGACCGTGATAATGACGCGCATCTGCGACTACCTATGGGTCGGCTCTGTTGCAGAGCACTGCATGTGGACCGGCGCCCGGTGGGGCGGCATTTTCGCGGTCACTGCCTTCTTCTTCAAGGCGGCGGAGCAGGACAAGTGGTACTGGTGGGAGAGCCCCAACTTCCCTCAGAAGGTGACTGCGCCGGCTATGTCTCTGCTGCGGTGCTCGTCACATCCGCGCGTGGGCATAGCAATATCGATATGGTCATGCGATTGTTCTCCTTTGTAACATTGCGTTGAAACGATTGGGCGTGCGGAGTTTTTACACGCATGCGCGAGAAGCGGTGGCGTCGGTCGGCTCATTGAGAGTGCGATGTGTGGGCTGCATTTATTGGTGAAGTACAGTGCCTCTGTCATGCCACTCGCACACGCACACACGCCAAAACTTGTTCTGGTGCTGAAGCTGATCGGCGGCTTTTGTCAGCCTTCCGCGCGCGCTGCCTGCATGTATTTCGCCGGCCGTGCAGACCTTCTCCCACTGATCTGGCTCCCCTCACCCGCCTTCCTCCCGTCACCCGCCTTCCTCCCTTCACCCACCTCGCTCTTCTCATCCGCATCGCTCCCGTCACCAACGCGCTGTCCTCACCAGCGTCGTTCCCCTCGCCCACGCCGCGCTCCTTACGTGCATTGCGTTCCTCATCGGCCTTGGTCCCCTCACCCTCCCCCTTGCCCGCCGTACTCTCCTCACCCGCTCGCCTCTCCGCCGGCAGGGCACGGTGGCCATGTGGAAGCACGACTGGACCCTGCGAAAGGACCCCACCAAGACGGAGTCGCAGTAGAGAACGGCGCCGCGTTGCTGGTGCGGCCCTGTGCAATGGCCCTGGCGGCTGTAAATAGCGAGTGTGAAATACAGACGGGTGTGACTTAGGCGGCTTTCACGCACTGCCACCAGGTGGCGCCCAGCGTGACCTGACATCACTGAGGCACTGGGGCTCGTGCCCGCCGTCAGGCGCCGGTGGGCGCGCGAGAGATCGGTGAGATATTGAGGCCTCTCTGAGGTCAGAAAAAAGGTGGTCGGGTGTGTCGGGAAAGTGAACGCAACTGGCGATGAATAGGAGCAGACATATGCCGGGCTCGCCAGGTTACTTCGATTTTTTGGAGAACGCATTGGCTTACGGTCGCCGAAAGCACCCGATAACACCTGGACCAGAATCGTCTTAACACTCGTCCGAGTGGTCAGTTGAACACCACACTCAGGTGGGAGATGTCATTCCCTCCTCCCCCTGAGATCTCAAAGACTAAGCCAGAGACCTCGGGTTTACCTGCATACCTGACCCAAGGTCAGTGAAAATGGTAATCCTAGAAGCAATGATCCTACTGTCTACGAAATTATCTCGGAGATTTATGGCTTCGTACAACATTACGGTTTCACATTAGATCGAGCGATTCCCTAGAAATTGTATTCGCTGCCAGGTGCTAGCCGTGGCTGGACTTTGACCTGCCATAGGCCAGTGATCTGGCAAGGTGCACTCAATTTTTATACCAAAAGGTCCTCTGTTCAATTACACACAGTTATGCAAAGTTCCGCGCAGCTACACTGCACCGTTAGGAAATCATTCTGGGACGACCTTCGGGAGGGGGTCAAATCGTCCCCTTCCCGAGCGAATGCTGAAAGTTTAGCGTGGTGAACAGGGTTGTAGCCGGTGTTAGGAGGGTAGGTCAGGAGACCGATTTCGCCCGGTAAATTCGGTTGGTGGGCTTAGTGTGCTGCAAGTGACAGATGGTCCCCTGCAGCATGAGTTCTGTCCCGATGTTTGTGACTAGTCAACGTCAATGCTATGTTTAATGCCAGGGTATCTGGTTTTTGTCACGCCTTCAGCAAATTTCAAAGTTTCTATTCGGATTATGTTTATTGCATGCTTGGGGTCCTTGGAAATGCGTTCAGATGAGTCACAAAACCCAGAAAAAATCGGCCTATGGCTATTTTAATGGGCAAGTATGTATTTTTCATAAAGAAATATTCATGATAAATGTTATATGATTGCCTTACAAAAGATTGCTGTATTATTTCGAATGAGCAAGTCCACAAATGATCCTGCTATCCAAGGTAGCTGAAAGGACGATAGCTTTCCACTGCTAACTTCTGAGTCGTCTCGTCGTTCGGAGACGCTGGTTTTGATCCGCTCTACACATGGAATTTGACGAGGCCCCTTGCCTTTTTCTCTGGGCCCTGGCCATGTTTCGAGTGCGCTGGACTGTATGGGATTCTTAACCTGATCAGGCCCTTTGGTTGGCTTATAGTTTTTTCGACCGCAGTTCGCCATTGCAGCGCTGTGGACTTGCGAAGGGAGGTATGTGGTGGGACCGCAGTGCGGCCGTGGTTGGTGATCAGTGTCGCTGACCATCCCTCGCACGGCGCCATACCTCAGACTGTACGCACGTGCCCGGGTAGAACCGCCGCCGGCACCGCCGCGAGGCCGCCTCAAAGCCACTGGTCGCTGCACGCTCCCGGGGGGGCGGGCCGTCGCAAGTACTTGGGACGACATGGTGAACGAGAGCAACTGTGGTGACGCTCTGGCCAGCCCTTGCCTGTTCAGCGTCATTGCCTCTGCAGTCTTGGATCTCGGAGGCGGTCAGGGCCCCAGGTGGGGCCGAGACCGTCCAGGGCTTCGGGCAGCGAAGAGACTCCGGGATCGGCAGGAGGCGCTGCACGCCAGAAATCGACCACCCCAAACGATGAGAATATTTATGTACGGGCAGGGGCGCCTTGATTTGATCATGGTCGGGGGGCGGCGGCGGAATCCTCATGGTTGTGCTGTTAGGATATCATGTTCAAATGCACCGATGCACCATCTGTTATATTTTAAAGCCTGAAACGCTTTCTACTGATGCGTTCATAACGGGCTGCACGTGATCTTGCGGCTTATATTACGGGCTCAAGTCGTACGCTGTTCACTTACGATAGCCTATAGCACGTACTGTACAGATAGGCCCTTATGAACATGTAACATCGTAAGTAAGTCTCACAACTTTACAGATGACTCGAACTCGGATCGGATAACTCGGGTATTCCCAATCATATTCAAGCTTTCGGGCGCGTTTGAAAGGCGCGTTGTAGTTAGCAGGCAAGTAAGGCATGCTAACTACAGCAGGCATGTAAGGTGCACTAACGGAAAAGCGATGCCTGGTGGAAGGTAAAGTGAACAAACAGTGATGTGGCGATGATTGAAATAAACCTGCACGGTCACAACCTGAAGTGTGGACCGCAAGCTCAACCTCCTCGCTGGCACGCTATGATGAACTGCCAGGAGGACGCCACCGTGAGCAATGCTCTCCGCCAACACGTTGCTGCGAAACGCCGCATATCCTTTGAAGGAGCAGAAATGCTCAGCCGCTAGCTTGGTCTCCTGCAGCGCCACGGCTGCAGGAGAGACCCTGCTGACGACAGCCTGGAGATCGAGGGCGTTCGCCCTTATTCCTCCACAGTTCCACTGTAGAAACGCCTGTAAAAGGATGCATTAAAAAAACGGTCGGTGTAAAAAGCTAAAACAAGTCGCGTCTTAAAAGAGCTTGGCTGCGCCAGTTGTATGCCCAGACGCCTCAGATCGAGAGCCACGGCTTAACTCCAGGGGGCCGTGCCCCACCCTAGGACGAATCTTTGGGCTCCCTCCGTCAGATGGAGAATACGGCTGGGACACGCCTTACACCAGCGTACCCAGTCCGAGGTGGAGGCGGGGGAGGGCCCATCGGTGGACCTCTACCGGGGTTCGAGGGACCAGTGGGGGCGTCCACCGGCTTCCGTGGCGATGGAGTTCTGTTTCGGGGGACGGGCTCTTTGTCTGCCCCGGACAGACGGCTTGCCGCCTTGGCACGCCCCAGCTCGGCCAAGCGCGCTCACTTGGCCTCGCGGACGCGCCTGTCAGCCTCCTGACGCTCCAGCGTCACTGCCACACGCTCACAGGCACTGGAAAGGCGTGTCTGTAGCGAAGGGACTGATTGAGTCGCAGACGAAGGCACGGCCGACGGCGCGCGGGGACTCCGACCACGCCGAGCCGTCGTTCAACCGTCGCTCGTTGGTGATCCAGCGCGCACCGAGGAGGCCAGCAGAGCGGTGTCCACCGACTGCCCGATCGGCGGAGAGGGAGCTTGGGGTGCCGGCTTGGAGTCGGGCGTTCGGACCGAGGGAACAACCGACAGGCCAAACGACCTCAGAAGTCTCACGAGCTGAACTGCTGTCATGTGCTCGATAGCATTACTTTGTGGCAACGAAGTTTTCACTTTGGACGCATACGACGTTTTTGGATGGCTGTCGTCGTAAAGTTCACGAGCTTCACGAAAAGAGACTTTTTCAGAGTTTTTTATCGATATAATCTCTTTTTCTTTCGCGTAGGCCGGGCATATACGGTCGTACGTCGTGTGTGGGATTTGGTCCTTGCCGCAGTTGGCGCAGTGGGGTTCAGCAGAGCTGCAAACTTTGCTCGTGTGCTCGAATGACGCCCATTTACCACATGCTGGGCGGTTACGACAGTGGAGCTTGGTATGGCCGAATCGCTGGCACTGGTAGCACCGCATAGGGTCAGGCACATAGGGGCGATCCTTCACTCGAGCGCATCCAACACGTATCTCGGCCGGCAAATCGGTGGAACTAAACGTCAGAATGAGGTTGTTGGTGGGCAACACTCTCCTCCCCGTCTGACGAGAATCTCGCGAGCGCTCATCACACCAAACTCTGAGAGTTCTTCGACTATCTCGTCCTCCGCGATGTCGCGAAGATCAAAACAATTGACAACGCCCCTGGACGAATTTTTGGTCTTATGTGGTATTGCTGATATTGACACGGTCTTTTCATGCTTTACAGTCTCATCCCGCACACTATACGTAAGTTCCTCAGCTGCCATGGCCCTACTCGCCTCCAGACCAATAGCGAACTCCACTTTTATTTTGCATCTCTGAGCTTGTCGCATCTGACGATTTTCCCAAACCTGTCGCAGCCGTTCCATCTCTGAAACGGAAAAGAGGGAAGCCAGCTTTATCTCTTTACTGCCGAAGATCAGGATCCGTGGACCGGGGGGCGCAGATTCTTCTCTGCACCCTGGGGTTATCGAGGTCCGTCCCCCTTTCGGAGGACGGTTTTTTAATGTGAGAAGAAACCATACAAGGTGGTTTTTATTTCGGCACCGGGGCTCCCCACCCACCACGGAGCCCAACTGGGGGACGGTCCAACACTCCCTCAGGAGGTGGTCGCCGTCAGGGCTACCCCGGTGCCATACGGGGCGAACGACGCCTCCTACACGGCCAGGTGTAACCGGGGAGACCCCTTCCCGTCCTGACCGTGGTTCAGCGCCGCCGCCCCTTGACTCCTTAAGCCGCTGCTCGCGGCCAGGCGCCCCAAGCGGAAACCCGCAAGGAGCACCCAACCGCAACGCGAGCGACAGGCCGCTGGACCCGTGTTGGGCCCCACGGGCCCCCCACGCCCCCGGATGTCCTGGCCAAAGTGGAGTGTTGGGACGCGTCGTGACTGACCCGCACGACGCGCTCCTCAGCCACCAGGATCCGATCAACCCGGAGACGTGGGCGAGGAGGCACGGCAACCCCGATAAAACGAGGATGAGGAGTGGTGATAGGGCCGGATGCGGGAAAGCGGGTAATGGAAATGAAGCGGGCGGGACAAGGAGCAGGAGCTCACGTACCGGCAGGGTCGCTACGCCCTGAGAGGAACAGCTTGCGCTGTCCACCCGTTACCGGAGCTGGGACCCGAGGGGGCGCTAGTCCCCTACACCGGCCGAAGCCGGTGCCCCTGCTGGGGACAACTGTGTTTGAAATGCAAATCCCCGTATACGCCTATTCCGTGTCGCATTGTTTTGCGTGCACAATCGTTCGCGTAAAATGTTCGACATTGTAAGCTGAAATGCGGTTATGTCATTGACTCACTCTTCCCGTTACGCTGCCGTTCGGTTCCCCACCGTAATGTTCTTCCATAATGCCCTTGCTATTTGAGAGCACGTGCGGAGAGGCGTCCTGTTATCAGTATATGTTAGGCTTGTTCAAGGGTGTCAGTTTTGGGAAGTTTTGTTAGGGGGGCCAACCGAAGGCCCGGCAATCTAACCCCCATTTTTCCTCACTGGATTTAGCCCACTTTATGTTAATTGAAAGCCATATTTGTAATTAACAAACAAAAATTGATTGAGTCTTTAGTTTAAGCAGCATACAAACCATACAGGGATGCCTCCAGGGAGCAGGCACTGGACGCACGCGTCTCCTCTGATCGGCACGTGAAGGCGCCCCTCTTGAGGCCACATCAGGGCGCCGGTGGCGCTCTTCTATGGCGGTCATGGGGGGGGGGGGCGGCACGATTTTTGGTTGTGGGAACGGGGGCTTGGTTAGCCATGAAAGACTTAGGTTAAAGATTTGTGTCTGGTGGTGAGAGCAGCCATGACTTTTTTGCTATGAGAATAGAACGAGACGCCACCATGCAGAAAGATAAAAAAGATAGTCTTTGTGCTGTGATCATCTTTTTAAATAAATTAACTGCGAATAGTTTGTATGGGCGGCTTCGGGTTAAGAGTACACGCTAAGCATAGCTTGTTGCATGTACAACGAACCCACCCCCCAAGTCGTGCCTTCCAGTTCAACGGGTAATTTTGCCTCCGCCCTTTTGCCAGACAGGACTGCGGAGGTTTTACGTGCCGCACAATATTGCGGCACGGCCGCCCCGGTCCTGGGTTAACCCTCGTTGGCCAGTTGCCAACTGACCTTTCCATTTCATCTAGCTCAACCATGCGCCCGCTCAGGGACTCGTACCCAGTGCCGCTGGATCACGAGCCCAGCGCCTTTCCCCTATACCACGGTGGTGGCAACCCTTTAACTACCTTTTTGTAGTATTCCAGCCAAAACATTTGGAGTAGTCAAACCGACATTTGGGAGCCCAACTCAACGTTGGGGGGCCAGGATCCCCACAAAAGAATATAAGTCGGCACCCGTGGGATTGTCTGGTTCTATGTATGCCACCATGGAGCCGTTGAATGGCGCAGCTTTCCGCCGATGCCTTTCGTCCTTCTCTAGTTTTCAGGGACGAGTGGGTACACTCACGACGCGGACTCGGGGTCAGAACATCAATATCCGTACTCAGATTCGACCGCAAACGCTTACTGCGGTCATCGAACTCCTACCCGTGCCTGGCCCGTTTTAAGATCCGCAGACGCGGCTAATAGCCGCCGCTCGAGGCACTAACCAGGGCCGCTCTGCTCCAGGCCGCCGGCCGTGCAATGAATTCGACGAATTGCCCGCCCGGCCGGCCGGCCCCGAGTCGGGCTGAGGCTGCAGCGTACGGCGACGCGCGCGACGCGACACCCGCCTGGGATTTCTACTGACAGTTGTCCGTGGGATGTGAATATATTTCAGGATGTTGAGGCATCAGATATGATGAAATAAGCTCATATACAGCTTTTGTTGTACCATAAGTGGAAAAAACTGTTCAGGACAACACTATTTCTCTGTACAGTTAGTGTGCTCAACATTGTCACTGTATGACTGTGTCATGGAGCATTCGTATGGTGGCACTCACTGGTGCACTTATCTCAGTCTCTCGAGAGTGGCCCCCAGCGGAGTTGGATGCATGCTGAACCAAGTGTCGATGGGCGTTTGTTTTTTGTGTCATTTTTTGCTTCCTTTCATGGTGTTTTTGCATCTTTATCCGTGAGTTTTGTTTGCTCACTTGTATTCACATGTTTGGCTATAGTGAGCTATAATGCTGCTCTTATGCTATTCGATTAGAAGTATTCTTCGCAATCGCTAGAAAAAATATTCAACTTTTCGTATAATTTACGCAAAATGCAATTCATCTTAGAATCTTACATGCCGTGTACAACAACGGCTGAGAGCCAGACATCGGCCGTTATATCTGGAAATAGTGCCACGAGCGCTATTTGTGAACGACTCAACAATCATATTTCTCTTTACCTTGAACGCGGCATGACCAGTGGAATAACAGGATTTAAATGATGTTATCGTGGTGTCATGGATGCCTCAGTAACCTTGAAATCATATGCACGAAAAAGTCCGCATATTTTCGTGGGTGTGTAGCTCTGATACATGAGGATTTAAGGCTTTAATATGGGTACATATTAATATTATACATTATTATTAATATTATATATTAATATTATATAGCCGTGAACTGCGCCAAATGATCTCCAAGATGGCTTTTTCTGTTCAAACTTCTAAGCAAGCGTGGAACACTCCCGGTCAGGTTACGGGAAAATAATGGGCTTAGACCAGTTAAGCTGACAAGATTTTTGACGCTGTAGTAACTACGAATCATGGGAAACAATGCATGCTCCCGACGTCAGTGAAGCGTACAGCGCATGATCTGACGAACAAGCTGAACGACGTCCGGCACAACTGGCCGCCTCTTACCGCACCATTCCGTCGCGTCGCGGGCTGCGCTCCAGGCCACCAGCTGCGCAGAAACATTTGGTGCGGCAAGTGATGCAGCATCGTGCCCATTAAGCTGACAAACGTCAGGAATGTCAACGCCACATGTTTTTCAGCCATCCACATTCATTGCGCTCCAGACTGTCTGCACCGAAACAGTGTGAAGTGTTGACCGTGTCCTGTGACGGCCACGAACGGCACTGTGTCGCCATGAACGCCTCCGGGAGCGGATGCCGGAAAGGTCCATGTCCTTACTCTTCACAACGTGCTGCGCGGCGTCAGAGCAGCCACAGGCAGGGCTGCTTACGGCGCGCCGTTCTTCTGCGTCGCTTCAGTGCTGTTGAACGTCCCACATGTGCCAGCCAGTTGGTAAACAAGCCGATCAGTTTCTCTTCGCCCTGCGCCGCGTTGCACGTAGAATCACTCGAAAGCTACCGCGCGGTGGGACTGAACGACCCGCCCAGCTCGGGCTTGCTTGTCGCTCGACGCTTTATTTCGTTTTTTACTGACGATTTTACACACGGTTTTGACGTAATGGGGCGCCGTCTGGAATGCTTTAAGAGTAGCTGGTTTTCGGGTTAGGCCGGTATTCGGGTTTGATAACTCTGAGTATATTTGCGCTCCAGCCCAACTTACCCGCCCGCTCAGTTGGAGCCTCTGGCTATATTTCTCTTTAGCCATTTCAACGAGCAGATATGCTAGTTTTGGTTGTCCATAGATAACGTTACGCACCTTTGTCCATTTCCAAAGCCCTCCCTCGGTAGCATTGTGGCTACGCTGGGCAAGACCCCTGGTTACGCTGATTTGAGCATGACATCCCAGAAAGGTAGCAGTCCCCTGATCCCCGAACTATGCCAAGGGTGCGAAACAAAGCAAGATGTGTTTGCTGCGAGAGGAGGCGAATGGTGTCCGGCTGTAAGGTTTAAGAATATTTGAAAAGAATGACGAATGTTATGTATGAACACTTGGTGTAGCGTCAAGTGCCGCCCACCCCTCCTCCTCCCCGTTGTGCTCTGTCTATGATTCCGTCGAACCGCAACCCCGCCTTGCGTAACGCCATATATGGACTTTCCGTTTCGTCATTGCCCTTCAGCATGCTCTCGGGGGCGTCAGCGATGACCTTGACAAAGCCGTAAAAACAGAACATTTGCGCCGTTTCTTTCACACACCATTGCAAAAACCCCGGGTCGACAGCCCCAGCCACCAGCCGGCCTCTGGCATCCTCACCTCGACGCGTCGGCTCCGCCACCATGCGCGTCTGGCCAGCATTGATCGGCGATGCGTTGTCAGAGGCTGTACAGTGGGCCATCACGCGGCCCTCGGGTGACTGTGGCGCGGCGGCGGGAGCAGGAGGTGCGGGGAGCCAGGCGGGTGCTTGGCGCACGCGACGGCTCGGGGTCGGGGTGGACTTCGGTCGGGTCTCCGGGAGCGGCGCAGGTGTTCGGTCGACTTGTGACCGGCAGAGCGCGGCTGTCTCCGTGCGGGGTGCCGTTCCGAGCGTGCTCCCGACCCCGACCAACCGCGGCCCGGCGTCGACACCGGCACAGCATCCGACGGCAGTGACGGACATCCGGCCGGCCCGCCAGACGCCAGACCGACCAGGTACGAACGGTACGGAGCCGTGCGGTGGCAAGTGGGTGGAACACCTTTGTCAGCCCTTTGACTTATTTGGTGTTCCATGGCTTTTTTGTTGGATAGCAACTGATCGAGTATGGCCAGCGTGGATGAGCATCGAGAGCTGCACCAAACCCAAGTGATTGTACTCCATGACAGGGGGTGAGGTGGTGGCGGTTGAATTAGCTTGCTTCCCTTCATGCAATGTTTCAGGCGTTTTAAGTCATTTCCTCGAGCTGACGTCCTCGGCCCATGGCTCCTGTGCGCTCGTCCGATGGGATAGTTTTTTCATACCCGGGCACAACAAGGAGCCTGACAGCTCTCTCCCGTAATGTTCGAAATAAGGCAAATGGAGGATGATAAAGAGTGTGTTGTTTTTTCTCTGAGTTGACCAGATATATCAGCTTTTGGCACGATATTGACCTTAAATGTGTCCTGTAAATGAAACAGGACATGGTCGCGGGTATAACTTCCACTCAAAGGGGCAACCAGTAATTTAGTAAGCGCCAGCGTGTTCTTCGCTTCTCCCAGTTATGAACATGGTTGGGTTTTGGGGTCTTGGCTAGTAAACGATTCCCCAGGTCACGTAAACCTCAACACAGCTGAAATGTCCATTGGAGTGCATAATATGCATATCGCACTGCTGACATGCTGACATGCTGACATGCTGAATATGCTAAGGAAAACATGAAGCTATTGATCATCGTCTAAATTATCACGCGCACATATTTTTTGGGGGTCAGTTTGTTACATTTGAGTTTAAGTAAGACCTTGATGTAATTCATGCTCTGTCTTGCAGGCTACAAGACGCATTATGTATATGTGTATGCATATATATATATATATATATATATATATATATATATATATATATGTTCCGAGCGTGGGAAACTGTCGTCCACGACCTGGGAGGCTCCGAATTGCTGGAGGCGTGTATGTGCGTTTCGGTGAAAGGAGTAACGGAGCTCCAAATGTACTTGACGCGACTCTAGAAAGAGCTGCCGACTTCGCGAACCACGCACACTACGCGCGAGCCATCTCCATAGGCTGCTTTCTGCATTTGCAAACGCCAGAACGCGGGCTTGGCAGTTCGATTGGGTCTTAGGGTCTTCCCGCACGTTTTCCGGCTGCTGTTCCGCGCGAATGGAATGTTGCAGCTGTGCAGGAGTCACGCCCTTCTTCTTCATGCAGGAGCCGTCTCCCTTCTCTTTCCGTGTTGAGCTGGGTACACGCAAAGTGGTTCCTAATCCCTATTGTTCCCAACAGTTCTTCGAAGAAAGAAGAATTCAGAACCTGACAACGGCCTTGCTTGTTACAATAGCTACCGTCACGCGCTTCAGCGGTCGCTGGTCAGAGCTACAGATGCACCACAGGACAAACATATAAAATGTGCGGTAGTTTCCTGGTGAGTGTAGTACCATTGTAACGCAAGCTGCATCCTTCCATTACACCACGAGACGTGCTGGCTTCACGTGTATGGCAATGCTCTCCCCGTGTCATTGCCCCCCCCCCCCCTCCCCGTATGGGGGGACAGACGGAACCGGGCGGAACCGGACCAAACCAGATGGAACTGGCCATAACCGGACGGAATCGGATGGGATCTTATCACTTCCACTATGTACTATCTACTCCTACCATCTATCATCTACTAATTTGGTTACAAAATTTACGCAACAATTAGACATTTGTTTAGGCTTACACGAGGTCATCCCAAGGCCCATATTGTGTATTTTACTACAAAGTACTGTGTTTGCTGCGGGATGGTGCATTTAACTGTTCCGTACGGCCAGGGGTTATGGCTGAGGTAAACCAAACAGCCACTGTGTGGTCTGAAACGTTCATACCTAAACTTACAGGATTTCGTGGTCATTAACTCGCCATTTACCTTTAGTTCGTAGCTCTAGTTCGTAGCTTTTAGCAGTTCGTTGTTCGTAGCTTTTTGTTTGTAACTCTTTTTTAGTTGGAGTCCCTCCCCCCCTCCCCTCCTAAATGAATGAATAGCTATGCCCCTGTATCGGGCATTATGAGCTCAGGGCTCTTATGTCGAGCTATTAACATGCATTGTACCAGGAGGTGCGGTTAAACGACGTTATATAGCAAACATCGATTGTTTTGTCAGTACTCGGCGTTGTAAGCAGCTCTTATGATTACAAGAGTGTCATCATGAGCGTTCACTAGTGCTTTGTGGAGTTTCTGTCGCTTTTGTCCTTTTGGAAGTCTCGCTTTAGCTTTTTTGGTATAATCATGCTTTTATCTCTGTCGACGTTTTGTCCTTGTCATTTCGAATCAACTTTTTCCATTAATATTTTATTCCGACCTTTTGTCGTTCGATTTTTCCGATTTGGCTTCTTTTCTAGTCGACTTTTATCCCCATCACTTTTTTGCTTCAACATCTTCGATTTAACTTTTATCCCAGTTGACTTTTATCCCCATCAATTTGTTCCTTCGACTCCTTCCAATTTGACTTATCCCATTCGACTTTTATCCCAGACGGTTTTTATTCTTGTCGACTTTCTGTCGTTTGATTTTTATTGTTCCACATTTTTCAGTTCAACTTGTTTCGGTTTGACTTTTTGTCCGAACGGTGCCCCCACCCCCTCTCCCCAATTGCCCAACCCACGCCTTCACTCCCGCGGGGGCCCCGGCTTCGGCCGGTGTAGGGGACTAGCGTCTCCTCGAGCCCCAGCTTCAGTAGCAGGTGGACAGCGCAAGCTGTTCATTTCAGGGCCTAGCGGCCCTGCCGGTACGTCAGCTCATGCTCCTTGTCCCGTGGTGTGCTCCCTCCCTACCACCTTCATTCCCACATCCGGCCCTCTTAACACTTCTCATCCTCGTTTTATCGGGGTGCCGCGCCCCCCTCGCTCGCGTCCCCGGATTGATCGGATCCTGGTGGCTGAGGAGCGCGTCGTGCGGGTCAGTCACGGCGCGTCCCAACACTGACCAGGATATCCTGGGTGCGGGGGGCCCATATGGCCCTATGCGGGTCTAGCGGCTTGTCGCTCGCGCTGCGGCTAGGTGCTCCGTGCAGGGCCTCCGTTTGGGGTGTCTGACTGCGCGCAGCGGCTTAAGGGGTTAAGGGGCGGCGGCGCTGAACCACAGTCAGGACGGGTAGGGCTCTCCCCGGTTACACCTGGCCGCGTAGGAGGCGTCCTTCGCCGCCGTCTAGCACCGAGATAACCCTTGCGGTGGCCACCTCCTGAGGGATTTTTGGGCCGTCCATCATCTGGGCTCCGAGGTGGATGCGAAGCCCCGGTGCCGAAATATAAACCACCTTTTAGAGCATCTTTTCACCTTAAAAACACCCGTCCTCCGAAAGAGGGACGGACCTCGATAAACCCATGGTGCAGAGAAGAATGTGCGTTCCCCGGTCCATGGATCATTGTCTTCAGAAGTGATGAGATTATGCTGGCTTCCCTCTCACCGTTTCAGGGGGCGGAACGGCTGCGAAGGGTTTTGGAAAATCATCAAATGCGACAAGCTCAGGGATGGAAAAATAGAAGCAGAATTTGCTGGTAGTCGGGAGGGGAGCCGGACTATGGCAGCCAAGGAGTTTACGTGTAGTGTTCGGGATGAGACTGGTAAACATGAAAAGACCGTGTCGATATCAGCAACACCACATGAGACCAAAAATTCGACCAGGGGCGTGGTCAATTGTTTTTATCTGCGTGACGTCGCCGAGGACGAGATAGTCGAGGAGTATCAGAGTTTGGCGTGATGAGCGCTCGTAGGATTCCCGTCAGAGGGGGAGGAGAGCTGATGTCCATCAACAGCCTCATTCTGGCGTTTAGCTCCACCGATTTGCCGACCGAGATGCGTTTGGGGTACGTTCGAGTGAAGGTTCGCCCTTATGTGTCTAACCCCACATGGTGTTGCCGATGCCACCGATTCGGCCACACCAAACTGTACTGTCGTAACCGCCTAGCATGTGGTAAATGTGCGTCATTCGAGCACACGAGCGAGGTTTGCACCTCTGCTAAACCCCATTGCGTCAATTGTGGCAAGGACCAAGGCCCACATACGACGCACGACCGTACATGCCCCGCCTACGCGAAAGAAAATGAGATTATATCGATTAAAACCTCTAAAAACGTCTCTTTCCGGGAAGCTCGTGAACATTGCAACGAAATCCACCAGAAAATATCGTAGGCTTCCGAAGTGAAAACTCCGTTGCCGCAGAGTAATGTAATCGAGCTTATCATGGCATTTCAGTTCGCGAAACTTTTGAAGTCGTTTGGCCTGTCGGTTGTTCCCTCGGTCCGAACGCCCGACTGCCAGCCGGCACTCCCTATTCCCTCCCCGCCGATCAAGCAGTCGGTGGACACCGCTCTGCCGGACTAGTCAGCGCGGGCCGGATCACCGACGAGTGACGGTTGGAGTCCTCGCGTGCCGTCGGCCATCCCTTTGTCTGCGACTCAATCGGCCCACTCACCACAGACACCCCTTGCCAGCGCCTCTGAGCGTGCGGCAGAGGCGCTGGAGCGTCAGGGAGCTGACAGGCGCGCTCGCAGGGCGAAGCGGGTGCGTTTGGTTGAACCCGAGCGGACTAAAGCCATTAACCGGTCGCCTGGGAGCGAACCGTTCCACCGCCCAGACGACGCGTAGAGGCCCCTGGAGGCCCTCCGGCGCGAGGAGGCACCCGATGGATCCTCCTCCGGGGCCAATACCATTTCGAGTTCCTGCTTCGCCGGCGCCATCACTGTCTGGAGCGGGGCGCCCGGAAAAGCGTGGCCCGGCCTGGCTCATCTCGCCTTGAAGTGGAAACTCACGTGTTCGGGCTAGAACCCGGCCGGCGTCGGTGGGTTCGGACCCCGATGATACCGCGAGGACGCTGAGCCCCGTAGCTGGACCGTCTGGGTCCTCTGCTACCGGTGCAGCCGAGTCCTTTTAGATCCTCTGTTTCACACTGTGATCTTCCACCTCTCATAAACACGTAGACGTGGTTTACACATGTAGACGTGGTTTCCGCGGAGTGGTAGACAGGTAGAGACCGTCCTCGCCTTTTAGCTCCATGACTAGCATTTTACAGTGGAACTGTAGGGGCACCCGGACAAGCTTCCAGGGCCTGCAAGCCTCCCTGAATCAACGATGTCCAGCGGTCGTATGTCTCCAGGAGATGAGACTTGCGCCTGAGAACCACCTCACTCTTTCTGTCTATGCAGTATGGCGGCGAGACGTGCCAGCTGATCCCCTCGCGCACGGCGGCGTTCTGCTAGCGGTGCACCACAGTGTGGCGACGAGACGTGCCAGCTGATCCCGTCGCGCACGGCGGCGTTCTGCTAGCGGTGCACCACAGTGTGTCTGCGCGCGGGCTGACTTTAAACGCTGAGTTACAAGCCGTCGCGGCTTAAGTGTTCTTGCACCGATAAACAACAGCCATCTGTTCAACGTGCCTGCCTCCTGGTACCAAGTTTCCGTCCGTTGAGCTCAGACGCCTGGTGGCTCAGCTTCCGTGGCTCGTCCTTATATTAAGTGACTTTAATGCCCACCACTCAGCGTGGGGATGTGTCCAGACGAACACCGTCAGGAAGCGCTGTGAAGCCTTCATATACGAAGAGTCGCTTTGCTTTTAAACATGGGAACTCATTTTACACTTCCAGCTGGACAGGGATCAACAATCGACCACAGTCTTTCAAGCCCACAACTTACCAACCACTTAAGCTGGCCAGTGTTGGACCATCCGGTAGGAAGCGATCACTTCCTCATGTGGATTAGTCCCAAAACTTACGTCCTCCTCGGCTGTAGACTGTAGCAGTGGAATCTTAAAAAAGCTGACTGGACTGAGTTTTGATCACGGACCGAGCACTTCATGTCAACGAAAGCCGTGGGTCAGCCTCCGTCGGTCGAGGTTTTGACTGCCTTGATTTTGCGTTCTGCGAAAAGATCTGTTACACGAACGCCAGGAAATCCTCGCCGCGCTCCTATCCCATGGTGGACACAGCAGTGCCGGGACGCCATCTGCGCGCGTAAGAGGGCCTTTAGAACATTCGATCGCCGTAGTACGACATAAAATCTAATCACGTTCCGACGAGCACGAGCGGCTGCGTGGCACGCTATTCTTGAAGCCCGACGCGCGTCACGGCGAGCCTATGTCGGTCAGCTGAACTGTCACACACCTGCAACCAACGTATGGGCGCGAATCAAGCGTATCGTCGGGCAACTCATCTACACCGCACCTGTGCTGCACATAAATGGGTGCGATATTCTGCAGTCATTCAAGGTTGCAAGTGAGATCGCCCGCGCACTGGCCGAGAGAAACGACACGTTGGTGTCCTATTTTTGACGTCGAAAAGGCCTACGATGCGACATGGCGATTCGCATTCTGCAGAAGATTTTCAATTACGGCGTTCGAGGAGCTATGGGCATGTTCCTGACAAAGTTTTTATCCGATCGATTTTTCAGTGTTAGTGTTGGTGCACTTTTTCTCGCATATATCAGCAAGAAAACGGCATGCCGCAGGGCAGTGTTCCCAGTGTCGCCTTGTCCGCAGGTCATGATCAATTTATCGGAGACTCCTCCCTCGGTCTGTCGGCCGTTCTCTTCGTGAATGATGTTGTCCTATGGTATTCTTCGTCGATCTCTGCGTCTTTGGAGCGCCGATTGCAGTCGCCCGTGGGTAACCTGGCCACGCACTTCTGCAGACGTCGCCATCAGTGCCCGGCGATGAGTCTAAGGCTCTACGGGCAGACAATTCCAAGTGAATCGTCTGTCCGTTTCAGGGACATGTTTTTGACGATCACCTGACGTAGAGGCCACATTTAAAACTCTAGCGTGACACATGCTTTAAAGCCTTGAACATTCTGAAGTATATTTCTGGGACCTCATACAGGACGGACAGAAGAACACTCTTACTCCTCTACTGCTTACCCATACGTTCTAAACTGGATAACGGATGCCTTATTTATGACCGTGCACCTCAGTCTTGCAAACATGTATTTTACGCAGTGCATCACACCGTGTTACGCATCGTGACCGGAGCCATATAGACCATCACCAGTATCTAGTCTTGCGGTGGAAACAAATAAGCTGTCATTATCTCGTGGGAGAGAAATGCTGGGAATGTGGTACACTTCAAAGTTGGCACAGTTTTTAAACCACCCGACCCATCGAGCGGTTTTTCGCGACGTATAGGAGACATGTTTCAAAGTGGCCGAAGGCTCCACGGTATACCTTAAAGCGTGCAAATGAAGGCGCTGTTCCGTATAGCGGCGTTGACTTGCGTGGTGCACTAAGGTCTCGTCACGTTTTGGTACCCACGTGGGAGCTGACTAAACCCAAAGTGGTTGTTTCGCTGGCATGCACCAATAAACAGCGTGAGATTCCAGTCGACCTTAACTTACGGGCCTTAGAGCACATTGCCCCGTACATAAGGCTTTCAAACCACATAGACGGACGGCTCGAAAACGGAGACAGGAGAAGGCTCTGCGTTTGTAAGCGGCGAAGCCACCCGGTCATTTTCGATGCCAAAAAAAGCCTCCGTGTGCACGTCCGAGGTCGTTACTATAAATAAAGCCTTCTGTGTCATCGAAGTTGGTGAGGACAATTTACACCTGATCCTCTCTGACTCTTTGAGCAGCTTATTAGCCTTGACAGCTTTTAACTCACCATGTCCTGTTATACAAGATATTTTGATTCGCCTGACAGCGCGGATCGTGCGGGTAAAACTGTCGTCCTGTGTTGGATACCCAGCCACGTGGGCATCGCAGGTAATGGACTGGCCGACGCGACAGCAAAACGAGCAGCGTGTGCACCTTGCACCCGCACTTTGCCCCTGCCGGCCAGGAACTTTTAACCTGCCATTTCGGCTTGTATTTAGGGAAAATGGCAACGTCTATGGGCCATCACAGCAAACAGTACGCTGAAAGCCATCAAGCCACAGCTGGGCCGTCGAGGCCGTCGAGCCCACGCGATGCGAGACGAGAAGAAAAAGTCCTTTGCCGTGGTCGCATTGGTCATACGCACTCGACGCATGGCTACCTTCTGGGCGGCGAAGAACGGCCTCAGTGCCCTCGCTGCGATGCGCCACTTATAGTCCACCGATCATTTGTCTATGCCCACATTTCAGTGAAGAGTGGATACACTGTTTCGGACGAGATGCTCCAGTCCTTGCCTTTTCAAACATGGCTGGTGTCGACTCTCGCGTTCTTGCCACGACTCAGCCGTTTTCATTTTTGACTTTGTAGGATTTTTAGCCATAGACACACCTATGTAGTCACTTAACTGTTATGGGCGCCAAATGACCTTAGTAGTCGGCACGCTCCAAAACACCAATCAACAACAACAACCTCGCCTTTACCTACCAAACGGTGTGTCCGCAGATGGCGCTGCTCTCCCACCGCGGGTTATCGCAGCTAGCGCTGGGGCTGCGCGGCCTCTCGACCGTGCGCCTGAGCGACAACCTGGCGCTGCTGACCGTGTCGGAGGTGCCGGCGCGCGGCGTCTCGCCGGAGCACGTGCTGCGCCACACGGCCGACCAGCCGGTGGCCATCATGCTGCCGTGGCTGGGGGCCACGCAGAAGGGCATCCGCAAGTACGCCGACTTCTACCTCAGCCAGGGCTTCAACGTGCTGGTGGGCACCGTGACGGCCAGACAGCTGCTTCTGCCTGAGAGCGGCGCCCAGGTACGCGCTCTCGCGGGCTGGGGGTTGCGATAGCGTGTGTTCTGTCTTCGGAGCGGTGTGCTGTGGTTATGGACAGGTGGCTCGAACACTGACCGCGGCGCAATCTGCGGCGGATTGTTCGTGCTGCATTGATGCGTGTGCCTGAGTCAGACGCCGCAACGGTCCTGCCCTGTGCGCTCGCTTCTAGTCTAGGAGCCTCTGTGTCGGAACAAACGCAGCGATCATGCAAGAGTGGGTGTCGGCGTTAGTCTGGTACGACGGCCATTTTGCTCTCCTGACGTCGACGGCGCTGAAGCAGTGGTCACACACGAGCCCCGTTATTTCCCTGCGTGACCAGCCTGCGTTTCGCAGGTGGCTGCGCGCCAGCTGGTGGACGTTTTGCTTGCGAACGATGACGTCAGTCAGTACGTGGTGCACGGCTTCTCCATCGGGGCGTACTACTGGGGCGAGGTGCTGGGGCAGATGGCCTGGATGGACCCTGGACGGACCATCACCAGGAAGATTACTGGCCTGGTCAGTCGGCTGAGCGTCGGCCGGCGGCTCTGGTCTCGGGCCGTGGCGTTCGCGCACCGCTACGTCTCTGGCAGTCGGGGCCCCCTCGAATGAGAGGATCGAGCCGGAGTCGCTGTTCGTTGCGCAAACGATGCCTCCTGCGAGTGAGAACGACTGCTCGATGTTAGACCACGCTTCGCTCGTGAAAACTGACTGACTATGTCGAACCGAGCGGAATGGCATTGTATGGGACGCTGACGGTGCCTCCTCACCAGCGCGTCGGCCCGGCAGGTGTTCGACAGCCCCGCCGACATCACGGAGATCCCAGTCGGCCTGTCGATGGCCGTCACCGACAATGTCCTGCTGCAGAAGATGATCGCTGCATACGCCAAGTAAGCAGCTCCAGCGTCCCGCAAGCTGCACCGAGTCCGTGCTGTTGGACACGTTCTCAGCAACGAACGGCCAGTTTCCGTTGACGCTTAGCTCTTGCTGTAATTCGTGAGGCTGCGCTTATGTGAACGGAAGGGTGCTGGGGACGACTGTCTTGCACTTTCGTGTTTCCGTTTTAACTGCAATTGTCTCTGGTTGCTGTGGCTCTAACGACCATTGCGATCATTTGCGCCGTAACAAGCGTTAAGCCATATGTTTAAAAAGCAATGTTTATTTACAAGTTGGTAAAATCCCAGGTGTGTTAGATGCCCGTGGTATGCGACGCTACCTACTGCACTGCACGTGGCGCCCGCCGCGCAAAGAACGTTAGTGATCTCTCTGGCTCACCGCTTTGGTCTGCACCTCCTCGTCCCTGCCAGGTTTCACCTGAAGACCATGGAGAAGCTGGCGACGCGTCACTACCGCGAGGCGAAGCGTCAGTTCGTGCACTATCCGCTGGAGGACGCCACCGCCGTCATGTTCCTGTGGTCCCAAAATGATCCGGTCTGCTGCTGCGAAGCCATCCTTGACGCTGGTGCCGAGCATGAGAAGCATGGCAGGAAGGTGGGGATGCTGCGAGGCTGTACTTGACACTCGTGCCGAGCATGAGAAGCACGGCAGGAAGGTGGGGATGCTGCGAGGCCGTGCTTGACACTCGTGCCGAGCATGAGCAGCATGGCAGGAAGGTGGGGATGGGCGACTGCCATTGGGATGATAACGTGCAGAGTCCAGACCTTCCTAATTGGAGTTGTGCTGATGAGCTTTCGTAGGATGCAATACTGCTCCAGTTGTCACTGCCTGGTATGTTTTGCCCATGTTCTCGTAATATCACACCAAGATGATAAACATGATGATATCACATCACACCAAGATGATAGAACCAAAGAAGACGTTGAACTTCTTGTTACATCATTATGAGCTGGGAGTTTTATGACGACAATAGTATATGACCTTTCGTATATCAGGCGATGCAGTTATAAACCTTCAGTATAAAAGGCGTTACAATTAGACGACGTTTTCAAGTAAACAGACGTTGATTGCATTGGCAATACTTAATACCCACTGTGCAAGACGTGCAGCACATAATGTTCTGAATATGCTGCAAACTCCAGCCATCTGCGCGGTGTCAGCTGTTCTGTAGCACTCGGACATGACCTGGTGACGTCACCTGATGCTACCACCTTCCAGGTGTTCTACAAGTGCTGGCCCGACTCGAAGCACGTGCGCCACCTGATCCAGCATCCGGGCGATTACCACTGGGAGGTGTCCGAGTTCTTCAAGCACTTGGGGCACCTGCGCTTCCCGGACCGGTTCCCCGCCCACAGACAGGCGGCCGCCGTCAGCCAGTGAACTGGCGCCGCCGAAGAGCGCGCCCCCTGGCGCCGCCGGTTCCCCGCCCACAGACGGGCGGCCGCCGTCAACCAGCGAGCTGACGCCGCCGAAGGGCGCGCCCCCTGGCGCCGCCGGTTCGCGCGGTGACCGTGAAGATGCACCGGGTGTTGTCCTTTGAGTGAAGACCTTGCGTCACCCTAGCCAAAGAGCCCCGGGTTCAGGCAGCAGTGGGCGCACTTGCACCACGCATGCTCAGGGTCTAGTTTTGAGGTCGAACAGCATGGCTTGGAACGATTGCTTGCCCGGTTGATCGGCGGTGTCGTGCTTGCGCGTGCTGTTTACACCTCAGACGGTTGGGTTCAAACAATGACAATGATGCATTGCCACAGCACTACGTTCTACGCCCAAGCTCTCGTTCCAGTTCCGCACTACGTACCACCTACGTACTACGCGACACCTTCCGAAATGGGGCGGTGGGATGGAGGGTGTTGCAAGAGCATTCACGTCACGTGGCCGCTTATGGAACACCAGGTGTATTGGTCAGCCAGGTATATTGGAAAGAAGCAGGAACTGGAACGGTTTCCAGAGGCTGACAGCTTCGGAAACAATCATTGACTTGATCGTCGAGACGGCGGTGGTCGTTCGCCGTGAATTGCTTGGCTGTAGCTCGTCGGCCGTGGTGGCGCCTCAGCGCTGCGTGCGCCGGTCGCTGTCGAGAAGCTCGACTCAAAATCATACTTTGTCTTGGCGAGTCCGCCTGTAGCCTAGGTACAGCGACATGTCTGTCGGCTTCCGAGTGGCAGTGGCCACTGTGGAAGGTGGTGGCAGTAGCCACGAGCGGCTTGGACATGTCAGAGGCGTCTTTTAATCACGGTTTACTATTGTATGAGAATGTGACAATATTCTGAGTTACGCGAGGATGAGATCCGTGGCATGTTGCGCGCCGCGCGGTCCAGATGCTATGCAGCCTGCGCTGATGCCGATCAGTCCGTCCTTCCCCGCTGCTTGCCGTGGCGGCGGCAGACATTGGCGCAGACAGGGGCCGAGTCTGGCGCAGACAGGGTCCGGGTCCGGGATCAGTCAGCAGCCAGTGGACTGGCGCGGCGTGCACTGTAGGCGCACGAAGACCTGACTAACCATGTGTGACAAGTTAGGTTAGATGGGAACTGGCGGTCAGTTCCCGTGTTCGAGGCTTCCGTGCAGCCTTCACACCTAATGCCGATTCATGCTGGCTGGTGCGGAGATGATTCAGCAAGTCCGTTCGTGTTCGTGGAGGATCGCCGCCAGCTGGTGATGTTGCGCGGTGATGTGGGCTTTGTCGCGCCGCGGCTCTAGTTCGTGAATCGTGAATTGAACTCCCGAGAGTTAACTTCGTGAGTTCAGTTTGTTGTATGCTTGTCTCGCCAGTAATATGAGACTGAAGGTTCGCTGTCGCCTGCGCACCTCTGTCGTCGTGCAGTGCGTGTGTTCCGCGCTGGACCGATCTGTCGACTTTGAGTCAGTTAACCACCCCCAAATATTTGTCCCAATGTGCCGTGTCAGCACCTAAGCCCGGGGCTCCGTGGCTACGCGTCCCTCGGGCGACTTCCGACGGACGCACCACTTCGGGCCACAGCAGACACGGCTTCCGGGACGATGCGTCTGCGGCGCCAATCATTGGCAAGGCGGGGTCGACTGGTGCATCCAATGTGACCAGTGGCCGACGTCGTTGACGGCAGATTGCGACCGGAAGTCATGCGGGGCGGCGGCAGCGTGTCCAGCTGGGTGAAAGGGGAAAACCCCAAAGATGCGGAACGTCTTCCGCCCATAGTGTCGCGTGCGTTGAAGGCTTTGGAGGTTGAAGGTGTCGGCTGCTCGTGTGGTTTTGGTGCAATGGTAGTACGAGTAATTCATGACATCCAATCCCGGCGACAGCGCGCTGACAGCCGTCGAAAGACAGTGGAGTATACTCTCAGACAATAAAGCATTACCCACCAACTCGGAGCGCAGAGGGCTGCTTTGACGATGGTTGCTGCCACCCGTTACAGGTGGCGGTACCCGATCCACTCTGCTGCCGTTTGACACGGGGATGCCAAACTGGCCGAACCTGCCAATACGGTACTGAGGTCCTGACCAGCGACCACACAGGCTCCCGTGGTGGTTACACGCTGAGCACACACCTCCAGCACGCCTGGATCGTTTGTCCCTCGGCCGCATCGGAGTATCTCGCTGGCCTCGCATAGACGCAAGGCGCTCGACGAACCGCTCAGGCGTCTCGGTCGTCTTCCACGAGCACACGAGTTCCAGCTAACGGCCTGTGCAAGGTCCCATACGCGTCGCACACCGATGCCCAAGGCTCGCCACAAATGTAAAATATATGATTTATTGGAACTCTGCCGGCGTCGACTACACAGCCCGCCACTCAGACTCGGCTTACGAGCGCGTATAAGGGTTGAGAGGCGACATTGAAGGCAAACGATTTAACTGGTGTAACCGCGTCATCCTTCACTCCAAACGTGCACGCTCCGCTCCGTTTCAAACAAGGCAACATGGGACATGGTCACTTGCTTTCCAGGACATCGGACCAGGCTACTTGGGTCAGCCCCTCCCACACCCCCGCACCCCCCCCCCCCCCCACGCACGCACACACGCACGCACGCATGCGCCGAGCCTATCCGAGTTGCAACACAGACCTCCCATCGTTGGGAGGCTACGAACGCCACCTACGTAGCGAAGGCCTGACCCCGACAGGTCCACCGTGTGCGCGCCCGAGAGCGGGCCGCCATCGTGAGGGCAGGACGGGTCCCCCGACGACAGGCGGCCCCGGACAGCGCACCGCCCGCAGTTCATGGCTGGGGACTCTCACGTCCCGTCCGATACAAGCACGGCTGCCGTCGCCGCCGGACGTGCCGGGCCGACCGGCCGCCCGTCGCGACGGCTCGCGCGCTGGGACGGCGACGGCGGCGGCGGAGCGTTCGCGTCCAACCCGTCACGCACCCCCGAGCCGCGCGTACTGACGGACACGAGGTCAAGGCAGAGGACTGCGGTTTGGAGCTAACAAACGACAGAGTCGGCTGTCGATACATGACGGCGGCTTAGTGAGGCTGGCTGGCAGGCATTTGGAGGGCAACAGCCATTCCCGGATGGCACGCGTCAAGTCGATACAGGAAAATGGTGAAGTTGGTGCATATAACCACCTCTAAAGCCACCCACTACCCGGACAAACCCATCGTGGACCGTTCGAACCAACGGTCGCAGTCGTGAACATCTTGTACGCACATTAATCTACCATAATCACAGAAGTTCTATGCAAGCTGTTAAAGCGCGACGAATCAACACAAAAAATGCGTCTGAAGTGCACACAAGCATTCAGTCAATGCTCACCAAATCAACAGGAGAGCACAAGGGGCAAGAAAGAATCCAACGCCCCCGCGAAACGCCAAGAACCCAGCACTCTCAACTCGCCGCGCGGACACGAGCCCAAGCCGGCTAGAGAGACGTCCGACCGTTTCCGGTGCCAGGTAGCCCCCGGCTGATGGCATGGCCACCGCATACCGACCGTGCACGCCGCGAGAGCCGCCGACACGCCCGACACCGTACCGACCGGCAGCGCTCGTCACCGGCCCCCGCCTGTCCTCGTCCGCGATCTCGGCTGCGAGCGAGGCCGACACGCCCGACAGCCGTACCGACCGGCAGCGCTCGTCACCGGTCCCAGCCCGTCCTCGTCCGCGACCTCTGCCGCAAGAGCCGCCGACACGCCCCACACCGCCCGACCGGCGGCGCCCGTCACCGCCCCCGCCCGCCCTCGTCCGCGAGCTCGGTCGCGGCCAGAGCCTCACTCGCGCCGCAGGTTGTCGAGCCGTGCGGCCAGGTCGGCATCGGCACCCATCTCCGCCGTGGCGGCCGGCGGATTGAGCGAGCCGGTGGCCTGCGGCAGGTCGGTCAGCTTGCCCGACAAGCTCGATGCCCAGCTCATCCAGCACCTGGTTCACCACGGCCTCACTGCAGCGGACAGGAGGAGCGGTCAATGTGGCGGAGGTGAGGACGTGAACGATCACTGGCGCTTGCTGATGGGACAAGCTGGTGTTTCCACACTTGGGGTCCAACTTCAACGGCACGTACGTGTCTGTAAATTAAGAACATCCAATCCCCTGAAACATAATACCTAAAATCGGAAATTAATTTTCGCTAGCTCTTTCATCCAGCTGGAGTTGCTGGACTCGACTCAGCTCCACAAAACCAACTACTTTTAACCAAATATAGTTCGTTTTTTTGTCAAGCTAGGGACGAAGTATCTAGACAGCAAACACAACGGTAGATCAATGCTTGTTAAACGAATCGCATGCTAGCTCGTAATTCCTTATTTTGATTACAGTACGCCGTTTAGGCTATGGTGATCCACCGAATCTGTCATAGCTACAGATTGGAATGGCAGGATGAGGCGCGCTCAGTCCCATGAGTGCAACACGACACTCGAATGTCATGCTAGCGGCGAGCGATCACCGGCTTTGAGCTGCTTAAGGCACGCCAATAAGGATAGGGCTTCTGATATGGATCGCACCGCTGTGGCAGCGAGTGACTTGCGGTATGATGAGCATGCCTCTTGGTTAGAGTCATTCACAAAGAACCAGGTCCCAGTTAAAGGACCCATTCTTGTTTCCAGCTGTAACCCAACAGTACGTCGATACTTTTGTGTCAATCGCATTTGCTAGCCCAACCAAGCTAGAAACCCGACAAAGTAAGCGACGCCCACTTTTCGTTTGTAGAACACAGTAAGGATTCACGGGACACATCGTTTCATTCGCTCAGTCGGTGAATTGTCGATATTGACGGACAACTCCCCGCTCTGACGTCCCGCACGCCCCTCGAACCGACCAGTGTTCCCCTCGTTACCATCAGCCTTGTCCCCGGACAGCGCGCGGGCTGACCAAGGGCACATCCAAAACCTTATTAGAGGGAGCCAAGCTCTAACGAAGACGCAAGGTGCACACAAGCCAAACTTAAAAACGGAAACAATGTTTTTTCGCCGCCTTGGGCATTGGGCCACGTACTTCGATGAATGAGGAAACAAGACTAAGATAGCCGCACTTATTCAAGTGTCAATACCTAGCTAATTCTGTGGTTCAACTGCCACCCACCCAATCTCGGGTAATGATGTGGTTATTTTTCTGCCGTAAGTGCAAGGCAACCGAAAGGCAAACTTGCACATTGGCACACATGTGCATAGACCCTAGTATCTGCGCTAGTATTTAAGGGTCATTTCTTCACGAGTCTTCGCTGATTATGGTACGTTTCATTTGTTTCGATTGTTTAATGTCGACCATGCGTTTAGTACATTTAGAGACCAGCGGCATGATAAAATTTGTTCGGGACCTAAGATCACACTTCCCAATGGCCTGTTTTTTTTTGCCTAAGACCTTGTTTTTTCCAGCTTGAATTATGTGGATATGTGAAGAGGAAGATACCATACCAGCTTTTCACATTTACAGCTCTGCCCGACCTTTTAAGGCATCAGGAAAATAAGCTGGCATTTGCCTATCTCATACATCGACTGAGCCCGGTGCATCTTCTAATGCCGCATCCAGGGACTGCTTGTGATGGGAATTCATTTTGAGCTGAGCTGAGCTGTAATTCATGTCATCTCCATGCTTTGACCTAGTTTTACTTGAGCCCCGAAGACCTTGGCAACAGGTCACGAACATGGCGATTAAAAAGGTTCACGGACATAGCAATTAAAAAGATCACGAATATGGTGATTAAAAAGGCTGCACTATTGCATCAAGCGTTCACAGCTACGGGAAAAGATTTGGTGCAGAGCCAAGAACGCACCTCGGAGCACTAATTTCCCCCATTTTTGCGTTGCAAACCACTTCAGGATAGGACCACTAGGCCACTGGTAGCAGACCGTAGGAATTCGAAATCTGAAGGCCAAGCTTAAAAGCTTCAGCCAGCTGGTGAAATTAACATTGCGACGTGGAAGACGCCACGAGAGACGCCTCCCAGAAACTGGATGCGAAAACTCCAATCTGTGGAGGGCTAAAACCCAGTTATTGTGATAATTGTGCTCTCAAAGTGTCGTGAAAGCAACTAGGTCCACATATCCTTAAACACAAAGGATGCGATTTTGGTATCACGTTACACACAGAATGGTGCATCAAATCGAGTAACGGATGTTGTGATGAAAATGCACACTGAAGCTTGAACACTTTATGGCAGACAGGTTCCATTCATACCTCTCTTCATCATCCTCATCATCTCCCAATGCATCATCAATGGCGTCGTCCATCATCTCTTCTTTCATGTCCATGATCTCACTCTGTTTCTCAAACTCCATCATAATCTTCTGAATCTCAGGTAACTTCAGCTGCCTGTGGGAAAGAGGCGCCCGAGCCGCAACGGTCGTCACAAACGGTCCACCACGTCCAGACACTAACCCCTGATCTTTTCGTGAGTGAATTCATGAAAATGGCCAAGGTGCATCTACATATTTCTCAGCCATTTTTGCAGACAAAAAATCGAACAATACACTTTCCTAGTGCTCAAAAGCCGGCAAAAGGAAAAGCAGAGCCCTTCCGAGTATGTTCAGTATGTCGTGATAGCTCCCTTCCCCTATAACATATATGATAACCCCTAGTTGTAATACTTCCCAAATCCAAACAATGTACGTTGCAATAGCTCATCACTGGCGCTTGTTGGTTGTAATCAATGTCGCTTACTGATTCGACTAATCTCGCCGAGCCACCAAGCTGCCCGCGACAGGCGAGAGACAGCTTTTCGACACACAGAAACATCGCAGCACCCAAAGCTCACCTATTCATCGTGGACATAGCTTTGGTAACGCCTTTCATGGCTTGAGCCATCGAGTTTTGCGACTTGAGCGTAGTGATCTTCAGGCTGACAGCCTGGATGTTGGCCTTCATCAGCATGAACTTCCGGGATGTCCGCCTGGTACGCACCAAGTCCTTGGCCATCACCTTAACGGCGTCCTAGCCAACAGCATGGGCGAGATGAAGGACCTATGCTTAGCATAGCACAGGCGAAACCATTCTGACCAGTGGAACAGTTCAGATACAAATAGGTGGGCGAGCTGGAAGCATAGCTCGGCCAACCGCTTGCCAAAACAAACACATGCACAAAAAATGTCAACAGTGTCAAAATGCCCAACAACTGTGGCCTTTTTGGTAAGTTCCCAGATGCCCAACATCACAAACGTGTGTTAAAATCAGCCCAGCATAACAACAGCGCATAATGCGTTTGTTCTTCGGTATCCTCCCTGACCGGCCATCTCCCAGCCACCGCCACTGGGTGCCGCCGCCGCGCTACTGCGGCCGGCATCCTCACCATCTGTCCAGCCTTCGCCATCTTCTTGATGTCGGCGATCACCTTCTTCTCCTGCTGGTCCATGCGCATGCGCTCTCGGTCCAGGTCCCGTACGGCCCGGTTTAACGCGCGCTGATTTTTGCGCAGCATCTCCTCTGGCGTCACGCGCTTTCCAAAGAGCCACTCCATGTCGGCTAGTCCTGTGCTTCGACCTGCCGCCAGATGGCAGTGTCACCGGCAGGGCACTGAGGGGTGACTGCGGTCAGAGGTGCGTGGTGCTGCTGTCAGGAGCTGCGCTACCCGCATGGCAAGATGGCTAGACTGGTCAGAGGGACGGCCATGTGCCACTTACAACACTAGGCAAACACAGACTGCATAATGCCCATGTTGCATATTTTGTGCTTTCAAAATATGTCACTTGTTCACTCTGTGAAAGAAGATTGGTCCCAAAATGAAGTAATCCAAGGCACATTCCAAATTTGAAGCTCGAGTCATTGCTTGCTTGGCTGTTTGCCCTGAGTTCACCATCAAAAACCTATAATCACTAGCTGTTTGCAATGTAAAATTGTTATTATCCAGCCCTCCATGAAAGCAATGCAGCATTCCAAAATCCATCAGTAGGGTGAGCAGGATGCCAATAAAAATGAACATGCCACCAGGACCCTGGCTCTACAGTGACTTACGCAGGCAATACGTCAGTGCTAACCTGTTGCCTTTTGACCCAGACATCTGACCTGCGGCCCCATTTGTCAGGCCTGAGGCACTTGGATGCTGGATCACCACTGCCCAGTTCTATGTTGTCTGGCTGATTTTGAGCAGAGGAGGGTTGACCGGAAGTAAACAGCACTCCATGGTGTAATAGCATGAAAAATACTGATACATCTGCTACCTAACAGACCAAATATTGAAACACTGCAACAATGTACCATCACCACTGCTAGTCATCATCCATATGTGAAATATGTGGTGACATGGTAATGCAGGCCATTTACAAGCACTGCCATTTGGCATGGCATATCATGCTGCCTGTTCCTGCCAGACTGATCATGCTGCCTGTTCCTGCCAAGTCAGAGTGTGCATCTGACCTGACCCACCCAGGTCATATCTGCTCTGTAAGAGCAAAGAATGGGCATGGCTGCCCCATCACTGAGCAAGCCAAACACAATCTTGGTCTCACCTATCCACAGACTTTGCCCCTGTGTGCCGGATTTCATCCACCCATGGAAGGTGCTTTGTATGAACTCTGCATGGTGGCAGTTTGTGCACAAGCTGTGGCTCCAGCTCAGTCTCATATGCTTTCATACAGCACTGGAATGTCATGTTGATAATTTTCATGCTCTGCTTATGTACTGAATTACATACTTCCCAAATCCAGACAATAATCACACAAGCTTTCTGCTATCTGCATGATTGTATGCTTTATAATCCACATGCATTGGCTGGGAATTTGTTGTCCAGTTAATGGTGGCTGTTAGCTGTTTGATTAAAAGAAAAAAGACTGCAGTGGGCAGAAGAGCAAAACACATCAGGATCTAGATCTTGCAGTGGTGCTATTTGTGTCTGGCAGTTAATATCCCATCACCTGACAATACAATTGTATTCTATCCTCAATCATCTTGATTACTGACTGTCAAAACATCAGAAATACAGCTGGAAACTATCACATTTATAAATCTGCAACATATATTCATGGTTACATGTAGGACTATATGGTGCTTCATACTGCTGGGTTTAAGTAAAAATTTATGTCAAACTACAATGGAAAATAATGACTTTTACACCACCTTTCATGCTTGTAGTGACCTACTCACAATGTGATGTCATTTGCCATATGACACTTCAATAAGGTGCATCACCAAATGAGCACAACATTCACCATACCAAAAATGTATGCTGTTCAGCATTGAACAGCAATGATCATGGTTATTTTGTATGCAGTATTGACTTCACATGACATATTGGTTGTGCAGTGTTGATCCTAGCATGGGTCACCAATGTTATTATACCATTGTTGTATAGTATCTAATGGTAGCAGAGCCACATGGTTGGCATGACAGGACTGGACTGCTATAGGATTGCTATACATTAAATCAGGCTGTTAAGAAGAAAATGCAACACAAATACTGAATGTTGATGTATTGGGTGATATGGCTGCTAAGAAAAACATTCATTAATGATGACCTACCCAGCAAAAGGAAACAAATGACATACAAAATAGGATCTGGCCATATCAGATTCAAATCATGCTGGTGATGTCCAGCATGGTGGCAACATTGCAGGAGCATTTTCAATGCATTTAAACTGTCAATCTGAATGCCCTAAGTTCAGAAAGAAGTTGCAGATGACTTCAGTGCATTCAGCCATTTTTGCAAACATGAGTGTTGTGGTAACAATCTCTAGCAAAAACAGGCTCCATTTTTAAGCAAACAACTTATCATCAAGTGCAGCTTTGCTTGATTTAAGTGGCACGTCATACATGAACCACGTTACACCATGCCATGCCAATCCTGGCAATGCACTGGAAGCCTATTCAATTTAAGTGTGATGAACCCCACGCTTGCCAAATTCAGATCAGACTATAGTTGTTGTTGAATTTGTTGAATTTTGAAACCCTTGATAAAAATGGTCTTGCAGTGTGTTTGCCCAAAAATACCTTTACAGCATCACAATTCCTTGAAATATTGCCTCTGTATGCTCTAAACCTGGTGCAATGTCACCAGGTTTAGATTTATGGTGTACACCATATTTATGGTGTACACCATATTTATGGTGTACACCATATTATGGTGTACATCTGTAACTGTGTTGTTACTGGTATCCTGGACATGTTCACCATAACATCATTTTTTCAGTTTGGTTGGTGAGGGCCTTCTACTTCCTAAAATAGGCTGAATCAACTCAATCTAGAGTAAAACCAATACAATATTGGTACGGGCAGATAGATGAAAAAATCGCAGAGTGCTTCTAAAGCCTTACTCAACCGCATGTAACATGCAATCCTAAAAATAACGTTTTACCTCACACCCAGACCGCGTCAAGGTATCAATCTGCGGTGCGACAATCAGCTAAACGCCGAGAGAGTGGAGATCAACAACATTCAGCTGACTGTACGGTGACGTCACAAAACCAACGAATAGTTGCCAACCAATGGTTCGCATGAGACGGCACGAGACCGGACGGCACGGGGCCGGACGGCACGGGACCAAACGGCACGGGATTGGACGGCACGAAACCGTCAGCAAGGGACAAAACCAGGCGGGATCAGGCAAAATACGATAGAGCCGAACGGAGCCGGACGCGATAGGACGGGAAAGCACGGGACCGGGTGGAACGTAATGAGATCAGACATGACCGGATGACACCGGACGGACCAGATGGGACCAAAGGGGTCTGGAATTTCCAAACTCAAAGGGACGAGGTCAGACAATATCTGACGACGCCGGAAGTGACCGATAGAAACAAGACGGGACGGAGCGAGATCAAACGAGACAGTACGGGGCTGGATGGTACATAATGACCCTAGACGAGACCGGGCGAGACCGGAAGACACCAGTGAGGACCGGACAAGGCGGCGCGGGATTGGGCGGTGTCCCACGGGACCTGGCGCGATGGAACGCAACCGGACGGGACTGGAAAGAACTGGGAAAACTTGGTGGAACCAAATGGGACCAGGCCAAACCAGACGGGACCGGACGGGACCAAGCAAAGCCGGGCGGGACCAGATGGAATCAGACGAGGCCAGATGGGGTCATACTGAACCAGACTGCACCAGACAGACCTGGTCTACCACTACCCACCAGTCCAGTTCCATACCGTTCGGTTCTTTTCGGTTACGTTCCTTGCCGTTAGATCCCACCCGATCACGTCAAGTCCCATCTGGTCCCGTCAGAATCTGTCCAGTGCTGTCTGGTCCCGTCGGAATCTGTCCAGTGCCGTCTGGTCCCGTCGGAATCTGTCCAGTGCCGTCTGGTCCGGTCGGAGTCTGTCCAGTGCCGTCGGGTCACAGGTCTCGTTCTGTTCCATCTGATCTCATTAGGTTTTGTCCAGTTTCATCCGGTAGCATCCAGTCCTGTCTACTCACTTCATTCCATCTGGTCCTGTCCAGCCTCATTATGTTCTACCCAGCTTCGTCTGGTCCCGGTTTATATAGTCCGGCTCTATTCCATTACGTCCAGTGCCGTTCGATTTTATCTCATGCCGTCCGGCCACATTCGGTCACGTTCGGCCACGCCCGGTAACGTCTGGTCACATCTGGTTTCGCAAAGTTCCGTCCGGTCCTGTATCCAGTCCAATCTGGTCCCCATATATCTCGCCAAATTCCGTTCAGTCCTGTGTGATGCGTAAGTGCCAGTTTCCGTTTGGTTTGGTCTGGTCTCGTCCGGTCGCGTCTTGTCTGATAATCCTCCATCCGGTTCCGTGCGAGCCAGTCCAATTCTGTCCGGTTCCGTGTGGTTATATTCTTGCCCGCCGTTTCCTCAAAGTTACGTCTGGTGCCCTCCGACCCTGTTCAGTTCGCCTAGATCCCTTCCGATTCCGTCCGGACCCGTCCGATTCAGTTCTCTTCCGTTCGATTCCGTCTGTTCCTGTCCGGTGGCGTCTGTTGCTGTCTGACCAATTCCGGCCCCATATAGTTCCGTCCAGTCCCGTATGGTCCCACCAGATCCCGTTTAATTACATCCGGTCCTGTCTGGTCTAGTTCCATCCAGTCCCGTCCATTCCCATCCTACTTCATGACGATACGTTAGGTTCTGTCCCGTCCGTTCGGTTCCCTACAGTTCCGTGCCGTCCCGTTCTGCCCTTCCCGCTTACTATCATTCACTTTCTGTCTGATAAGGGTCTAGGTGTGACGAGGAGAGACCATGTGTCGTCACGAATTTCAAAAGACTGGCAGTGGTTTTGTGACGTCATCGCACAATAAGCTGGATGTGTCCGCGGCCTTCACTATCACGACATAATCAGCTGACCCTGGCATAGCAGATTTACGCATATACTCATATGAACCGGGTGCGTAACAAGTGTGGGGAATTGGAAAACAAGGCGTATTGCCATTTTATGACATACAGAGCTAGGTAAAGGTACTGGAGGTGTTCGTAAATGTGTGGTCAAAAAATTATACCAAACTGCATGATTTTATCAATAAATTTCATCTCTAATGCTTTAAACCAAGCAATACAAGCATAAATTGCACATCAATGATCTTTTACAAGAAAAAAACATTAATTTCATTCATTTACTCTAACATGCGAAGTGCATGGCCTTCCCCGACCGTGCCACCAGTTCCTGGCTTTGATATATAGCGTGAGCGCCTTGGGATGCAAAGAACACGTCCGACAAGCAAAGATTATAGCATCCACTCATATCACACACATTATATAGAACTCACCAAGGTTTATATATGAGCCAAACTTCTTCCCTGCACGTCTCCAGTCCGTCCAACGCCCAACCCTGACAACCACAGATCATTGAACGATTACTCACCCCAACAACGCTTTCGGCCCTTCCTTTTTCTTCGGAGTAATGTTCGACTTATATTAATACCGGTGCTGTTAGCCGTACCTTAGAGTCTGATTTGGTTTATTCATCAAAATCTGCTACTAATTGGTGAAGACTTCCACCGAGTGCAGTGACTCCACTCTTATCGAACAGATTGTGATGCTGGTACAATTCTTACGCTTTTCTTTCGAACCATGACGCAGTTCTGGGTAGCTGTAGCTGTGCGTACCGGGTTCGATTCCCCGCAGTGTCCGCCCTTCCTGCCGGGGTGAGGGGCGGGTGGCGCCATGTAGCCTCAGCAGATGACTGCGTCGTAAAGCCCGAATGACGTGACATAAAGCTGTGCGTAGGGTGCCGGTATTACCACTACGCGCTTGGGAAACTAGAGGTAGGGGGTTCGATTCACCTCGGTGCTCGCCCTTCGTGTTAGGGAGAGCTGCAGGCGACACCATATAGCATCACCAGCTGAGTGCGTCGTAAAGCCCCAATGACACACACACAATAGCTGCGCGTAGGGAAAATCAGAGATACGGGTTTCGATTCCCCACAGTACACACCCTTCCAGCGTGACGGGACGTCGATGTCGTATAGCCCCAACACTGAAGGTGCCGTGCCGGGGCTTTGGATAACATGTTAACTGGACGGGGGGGGGGGGGGGCAAATGCCCCCGCAGTGCCCGGAATTCCCCCCCCCCCCCAGTGATCTCATTTTGCCCCTCCAGTGGGAGATCAAATAGAGATAAACAAAAACGGCAATGCACTGCCTGAGTAGAGAAATCAGCAATGGTGGAACATGTCTGAAGCTCACAATTACCGACGACGACGTTATTATCTTTATAGTTTTTCACAGCGCCTTTTTTCTGATATGGTAACTGCTTGGCAGCCGGCGGTTTTTTACTAAGGCACTTAACGATGCAGCATATACCTACGAATTCGTTGGTTGGGAACGGCGGCAAAAGAAGCAAAGCCCTATGAGCGTAAATGCAATTGCCTGTGGCGGCTCCGTTGTCGATTGGTGTAACCGTTCAGGTCGCTGGGTTCTGCAATGGGCATACGGCGGTTCTTTACGAAGAAGGTAGCTATTTTATGCTATTTCATCCCCAGTTCGATGAGCGCTGTGCAGTTGCTTCTTTTGGCTCCACGGGGTCTCACGGCAGGGCAAGAAAGCAGGAAAGGCCCGTCGCATTCTGCAGGTCTGAATATAGTCGAGTGAGGTTGAATTTTCAAATGTTCAGAATGGAAGAATTCAGTGTTTTAACAGGGACATTGTAACATAATGTTTTTTCAGGTAAGAGCACGTCAAGTGATGAATTGTGAGAGGTCAAGAGACGCATTTTGCTTGTCTTGCACTTCGACGACCTCCGGTCCCTACTGCTACTTTTGCTGCCCACGGCATGCATGAGGAAAGTTCTTATGTTCGTCTACCATCTAATTTAGTATCTTAGTTTGCTTTTTAACGTTATTTTTACGTACCACAACGGCCCATTTACGACCAAAAGATATTTCGCGCACACCTGGGGTGAAACCAGGTTATTGATCTCGGAAGACCTCTGGTGACCTTTATTTGATCTTGAATGTCATTAAAGGCTAATTCGACCGTGAATTCGAATCCAGCGTCCATTTTTACCTTGCAGTCTAGCAGACTGCCGATTATGGATGGAGAGGCTGTGTTTTACAACATATACCATATCGTTGGGTCGTGGCCTTACCTAAGGTCAAGGTCCTCTGACGACATGATGGTGGTAAATTTTGGGACCATACTGTTGATTAGATATCAGCAGCAGCAGGCTGCATGAATTTAACAGTGACGTGTTGAAGCTTGAGCGACTGTATTTTTAGTTTGCATCTCACTGATGTTAAATGCATTGCAGGACAAGTAAATAGCTCATAAAGTTGCACTTAGTATCGTTTCACTGTAACCTGCTATAAAATGCACCTTTTGACTTAATACAGTGCAAAACATGTCCCATCAATCTGAGGCTGAACATAGCATGCAAAACGCGTAATCATGTTTAGTGACTCGCGTGGTGATAACCCTGGTGTAAATGACCTGCGGCGAGATATTTATGCCCAAAAAACCTGACGCTTATGTAGAATGTATACGAGCGTTGCCGTACTATCTTATCAGGATGTTTGTCTTAACATGATGCGACACACGATTGGACCTCAAACTCCCTACAAAGGAGGAAACCACTTGATCAGCATTAGCATTACTGCCACTGCCATGATATCTCCGAAAATAATATCCCGGTCTTCAACAGAAACCAGAAGCTGGTAACTTGATACATGCAATCAGAAAATGTCTGTCTTGCTATCCTTGTGCCCTTTGGTGATAATTCTCTCCTGTTCGTTGGTCAGTTTTAATCCTTGCAACTTCCATGCTCCCAGATTCCACCCGGTATACTCAACCCACCTCTTCTAGAATGCTCCTCGCCGCCTCGACGATCCGCCCTACTGCTTCGGAGACGCACCCTACCACTCCAGCGGAACCGAGCCAGAGCAGTGCCACAACTGACGAGTGATACAAGGGAGCCAAACTGAACGTTCAGTGGTTGTTGAACGCCTTCGACTGCCCTCTCTAAGAAAACCGGCAGATAAGCGGCAGGAATTCTAGGCGTGGTGGGACCGGAAGAAGATGGCACAAAAGGTCCACTAGAGGCGGTCAAAACTGCAAAACTGCTGTTGAAGGGCTGGATCTGCCTCTCGACAAGCTGGTTGGCTTGACCAAAGACGGAGAGAGCGCCAACACGGGTCGCAGCAGTGGTCTCTGGAAAAGGTCCAATGATCTGCTGGGACGCGACCTGATCATCATCTGGTGCGTGTTTCACAGGGGTAACCCAGCTCTCGAGAGTGTGGAGACGACGGTATCCGAGATCTTGCACTTGAAGACGTACCTGTGTGCTCTTATAACGCACTTCCGAACATCGAAGTCCAAGAACATAAAGCTCTGCGAGAGCAGCGAGAAGGCGGTCACTTTTGCCCAGCACTTCGAGGTCCCTTTCGCCGAGCACCTGCTGTCGTAAAGTAACGCTGTCCTGACGAACCTAGCGGCATGTAGAGAAGTGTGTCAGGAGACAGCAGGAAAAGGCAGCAAGAAAGAAAAGGCTGAGGCCGAGGGCTTTGTCAAGAAATGGGCTGCGGGCGGCCGCGCAGTCCGTGTGACGAGTGTCATGGCCGACATCTGCGGAATTTTCTGCCACCTGCAGAAAAAAATCCAACGCGGGGACCTCGTGCTTCCAGATAAGCTGGAGGCCCGCAATGTTGCGCCGCTGCAGCTGGAGCTAATGAAAGAGGAGACTCTGCCTGGTGGACAGGAGGAAAAGTTCGTCCCAGCTACAGACGGACCAGCCGTCTTAGCGCACAACAGCCTCGTTTTCACGAAGAGAACACTTGAAGCTGTGCGTAATGAGATCGTTCAGGCCACGACGAACTTCCTGAGCGACTGGCTCGATGTCGAGCAGGAGCAAGTTGTGCGGGACATGGTCGCTGTGATGGAGTCCAGGTCAGCGAAACAGTTCATCGCTGCCGGTCGCAGCTTGGCATCCGGGCTGTTTGGCAGAGAGAGAGCGTGGCTCAGTCCGCAAGAGACGCCTGTGACCAGTGGCGCAAGATGAGCGACGCCAGAGACCAGCATCCTGGCATGAAAGGCAAGCTGGCGGCGATGGCGAAAAACGCTAAAGGCGCCTGTAAGCAACGCTCGTCATCGCTCCTCTGCGTCACTCCGCATAGCATGGGCACCGAGTGTGCCGTGTCGCACTACAACGCTGTGCGCAGCAGCCATCGCCTGGGCATGGGTCTGTCAACGGTGAACGACCGACTCGTCATCAGTGTCAACGGCTTGGGCACTGCGAGGTTTGACCCGCGTCCGGCGGTGGCGGCCTTCCTAGCAGACAAAGACAGGTGCAATCGTCAGCCGGACCTGGAGAAATACAAGCAGCGTGAATTTGCCAAGAAGTTCTCCCGCTCCGAGGGATCGCTGTAAAGTGTACTGGGTCACGTTGGGAGCACGCGTGTCAGCGAACTGTGGCGTCATGGCGAAGCTGTTTGGCTTCAGTCTGACAATGGTCGCCTGCGATACATGTGAATGCCTACTTTTGAATTTTTATTTGAATGTTTCCAGCTTTGATGCCACTCTTGGCGTGATTTGCTTCATTGTCATCGTATTGCCCACAGTTCCAATGCAATGATGCACTGTCATGTGCAGGACACAGGATGTACATAAAGCGAAGCCGTCCTGGGTAAAACTGCCTGTGGCTTAACCTTTAAGTTAACGACCTTAAACAGGTCATTGGTCAGTTGCGGCGAGGTTGTAAAACAGCCTGGAAATATTGAAACCTGATACACGACATCTAGCCCTACCCTAGGAACTTCGGAGCCTCAGTAAGATGGCATAGGCGTCCAATTTCCCAAATTGCATTCATCCATTACCATGCATTTACATCAAGACGTGAAGCCGCATTGCTGGAAATGAGTTAAGTGAGATGCATCATGTAGGCTTTCATTGTATTCAGATCGATTACTACGTGACAAAAACTTATCAGCGGTTCTCCAGTGTTTGCGGAAGAAGTAGAACAAATGTACATCGTGGAGATAATTGATACTCAGCAAACATGTCTCGTTTGTGTTCAGCTGACAGTTCCGGGTAATCTAACCTGAAATGAGATAGCTTCGAAGTTATTTCACTTCTTTTTGGACGATCTTGTTGATTGATTCTTTTGACGATCGATATTGATTTGGACGATCCTTCGAAGGGCGGAATCTCCTGTAATGCTTTTGGCGGAGCCTGAGCCCCACCAACATTTTTGGAAAAGCTCCACCCATGGTTGTCGCATTGATTTTCCGGTCGGTGCTATCTTAAAAATTCAGCGAAATCGACTGAGAGGTTTACTTAATGAGGAATGGGGCTATGATAATTTTTCGATTGCCCCCCCCCCCCCCCCAAGTGACAATTTCTTATCCGAGGCCCTGTGCCGTGCAA